AAAACATTAAAAATCTTACTGTTCAAAAACTTTTGACTGGTAGTATATGTCAGCCTATAGTTTGAAGTTAAAGATATTAATATTAATTAGGTGAGTCTGAGACGATTATTTGACAATGATTTCACATTTCTTGTTTGTATGAAGGCTAAATACAAGTAAAAGGTGAACATTCATTTATTTGCGCCGTTTTTTTTTTTTTTATATTATATGGTTTTATATGAGGTGTCATAGACTTGGCAAATTAATTTTCATAAGTTTGTATGCACAGACATCGGTTGTGGGCATTCTGGGCAGTTTTTACGAGGCTTTTTTTAATAGTGTTCATATCGGAATTATATCGTATCGACTGAAATTAAGAAATATATCGTGATATAAAATTTGGCCATATCATCCAGCCCTAACAGGGCTTTAGCTTTATATGCGCGAATAGCAGCGTAAACAAGACCATGAGGGTTCAATCATCGCATAATGCACCTGCAGTGCTTCTGTGAAAGGAGAAAAACAGAAATTAAGTCTATAAAAGGAATAAAATAAATATGATTATAGATAATAAGATAATAGGCTATAATATAATTAACAGATTAACAAAAGGAAAAAATAAAAAAACACTGTGCAACAAGTATAGGCTATGCTCGTTTTTGTGACACTCAATGCATTTGATTTTTCTTTATATCTTTATTTGATTTAATCCATCTGATTGCACAGGCGCCTCACGCACGCACACACACACACACACACACACACACAACATTAGTTCTAGCGTTGCCTGACATTTCAGCCATTCATCAAAAAAAATGCAGTCAACCAAACATAAAAGTTACACTGTTTATTTGAAAAGGTCCGCTGTAAAATCAGCGTGCAGCGCCTAAAAAAACATTTTTGCGCATATGAAGGACTTTACACGGATATTAGAACATGAGTGAAGTATAAAGCCATGTTTAGGCTACATAATGAATAATAGTTATGCAAACAAATGTTACAAATATGTTACAATGTTACAAATATAGCAAAAATAGCAAATACATGTTGCAATAGCAAAAACATTTGTATGCTGTTTATAATGAATGCCACTATAGCCTAATTTGTTTTATTTTATAGTTTAATATATAATTTTATAACTACTTATTTTTCATTCTTGTTCTGAATACCTTTAAATTTAAAATATTTGTTGTAGAGTGAGAGGAACTAAATAGGCTGTTTATATTTACCAGTATTTTAATATACATATAAATGACAAATTAATGTAGCCTAATTGTTTGCAATTACAAGGTTAATGGGTGTTTTTGGAGTAAGATCAATTTCTCTTTCATGAGATTACTTCCTCTTTTTGGCCGGGTTTCGTTTCGCCGTGTCATAAACTCTAGGGGCGAGGCTTCTAAACCAAGGTGTTTTTAGGGGCGTGATATTCAAATGACGATTGTTTTCTGCCGCCACATTTATCAACGTGCGATCATTCGTACGATGAGATTGGCGGCAAACGAATGTTTCATGAATCACACGTGAACTCGGTTGTAAGTTGATTTGTGCGCATGGATCTGCGCTCGTTTCTATGTTAGATTGATAAATGAGGCCCAATGTCTTGTTTGAAAAGTGTATAAAAGCATAATCAAAAATTACCTTCAGTCTATGGCTGAATCACAGCAAGTGATATTCAACACATGTAATATTACATAAATGTTACTTATTATTTTGTTGTTGTCACAGCACCTTGAAAAAGTTTCAATGTTCAATTTTATTATTTTTGATATCATGGGAAGAAATTGACAACATTAACAGCATAAAATTTGAACAGTATCAAAGTTAACTTAATTTCGACCATAGTCAAAAGTATTTTCTTATCAGACAAAACTATCTGAGACTCCTCAGGAATGCTAGCACTAAGTACTTTTAATTATTACTATTCATAATTATTATTAGCATTAATATTATTTCTAAGAAATATATTACTATTCCAATATAACTGAAATGTAAAATAAAAAAATGTATAGTATATCAAAAAATTAGTATAGCAATTATTTTACAAATAAAAATACAATGGCTGAATTTCTTCACTGAAAGAATTAAACCCTCAAGCTTTTAAAGGGGTCATCGGATGCCCATTTTCCACAAGTTGATATGATTCTTTAGGGTCTTAATGAAAAGTCTATAACATACTTTGTTTAAAATTTCTCAATGGTACTGTAAAACAACACCCTTTTTACCTGTTCAAAATCAGCTCTGCAGACATCAACCCATTTTTTTTGCATGTTGCTTTAAATGCTAATGAGATCTGCTCACCCCGCCCCTCTCTTCTGTGGGGTGAGGAGCAGTGCTCTGAGAGACTGTTTACTTTAGCCGCGAAACTTACTAACTAGCACGTAATTAGGAACAGTGATTGCAAAGATTCATAAAAAAACCCTTACACTCACTTCTGCTGTAAGTGAAGCTGGAACATAGATGCATTTAGGTAGATCGGGGTGCATTCACTTCAGAAACAAACGTAATCCACTGCATCTTCAGCGGCTCAGATGTCGGGAGTAAATGATGACTGCTATGTTCATTATTACATCCAACAACAAATCACCACAATCTCTATGAAGCCATTCTTGTCTATGTCCCTGCTCCGGCATCGAAACAATGTGCGTTTACATGCATCTTCTTAAGCCGATTATGCTTAATAAGCCGAAAACGCACTTGGTCATGTAAACTCGGTAACCCGTTTTCTTTTATCGGAGTAAGGTCATAAACGGCTTAAGCATAAACCGGTCGAAACAGGTAGTTTTTTGGCTCTTACCCCGATTCCGGTTGGCATGTAAACGCAATAACCCGCTTTCTGTCAGCTTATTGAAGTGCGCATGTGTGATACGTAACAGGAACACATCATTAGTGCAGCGTTAAGCACATCTAGACCGAGCAAACGTCTCGCAGTAAATAAAGAAGGAAATATATCACAAAAGCAGACTTTTTCATGACTCAGAAAATGATAAAAATGTGTTCTCATCTCGTGCAGCAGAAGTGGTTCAGTCACAATGCTGCGTTTATAACTGCATGAGAGGATAATATATGAGCTGTAAGTTTCCCGCTGACATGTTGCAAGCTTAATTTAACATCACAACTGACAAATGTATGGAACACTCTGAGTCAGATACACAAATGATTATATTTTGATGTCACTACAGGGAAATAACCTGATTTACTAATGAAGTCATGTAAACGCAGCTTACTTGCGTTGTCAGGATACTGATGTGCATGTAAACGGGGCAAACTGGTTATTTTAATAAACTGATATTTGTGAGTTATCAGCTTACTGGTGTGCATGTAAACGTGCTCATTATTGGTGGTCGGACTGTTACAGCTCACTCAGGGCATGTCTAAGCTAAAACGGCCATGTCAATCAACAAGGAGCGGCCTTCGTCCGTGCGACGTCACACAGACAAGAAGCTGAGAATGGCCTGATTTGAAAAAGGGGATATTATTTTTAGGGATTAAATAAAAACCACTGGGTGCCAACACACATTTATGTTCAAACAACATGTAAAAGTGAATTTAGCATCTGATGACCCCTTTAACTGCAACTGGACCTTTGTAAACTGGAGTCTGTAAACTTGACAACAGGTTTACAAACACTTCTCATTACAAATCTGCATTAAATGCTGTAATCATCTGTCTACAAAATTGTGGGATATTATGCAAATGTAAACAAAGTGTAATTGGCTCAGGTTTCAATCCCAAATGCATGTTAAACTCCACAGCACATGCAGAGATGAAGTTTGCAGCATTTACTGTGAGCTGAGCCACTTAAAACACTGGATCAGGAGTTGCGCGTGTGTAAATGATCACAGTGACGCACTTTGCTCTGAAACATGCAGAATATATAGGCCTAGTTATATACTTAAAATACACACTGCTGTGCATCAGTGACAGTATAATAAAACCAAAAAAAAGAAAAAAGAATACTGAATGTAATACCCAAGAAACTACATGGTAATCACATAAAAAAGTCCTGCTCAGTACAAAAAAAGCAAGTTCACTCATAAGTTGTGCTTACACAACTTAACTTGCCATGTTAACCATGACTAATATAAACACACAAGCCCACAGTCTGACAATCCGTTTAGCAGTAACACAGCTCCTACCTGTGACACAGGTGGCTCATACAGGTCTAGCTGAAGCCTTTGAACGACATCATTGAAGTCCTCAGCGTGAAAACAGACCACATCTTTGGTTATCCGTGGCCGGTCACTCCTATGGGAGATGAGAACATCAAAGGTCACTTTATCTATGGTTAATTACACGTGGCTTTTTGCATGTACTAGCATGTGCATATGTTTCTGTGTGGCAGATGGCTGCACTCACCATTCCCCAAACTGCACTGCTTTCAGGACACCCACAGCTGCTGTACTCTGCCAGTCGAAACTCTGGCCAACGTGATCAGCGTGGGCTCGCGTCCGATCCTCGAAGAGCACCTCACGTGGTTCACTGGCTCTCGGGAGGTAATGCAAGTTCTTGACCTCATTCATTGATCTACAAACAAAATGAAAGTGTTTTGTGAGGCACTACAAACAGCTTCAAACTGTTTTAATCTTAAAAAAAAAAAGTGCGATTAATCGCGATTAATCACAGAAAAAGGATGTGATTAATTAGATAAAAAATTTTAATAGATTGACAGCCCTAGTATTAAGTGACAGCACCGTAATATACAGTACCTATACTGCTGTCTACGCTGTAAATATGACCCAAAGAATCAAATTAAAACCGAAAATTACTCACTGCTCTGGACTGAATAACTTCCATAGCTGTAATAAGAAGAGATTTCTTACTAGAATGCTGCTTCTAAATGCTCTAGTGTGAAGATAAATATGGCGTATTGTGTGGCTCACTCTGGGCGGGGTCTAATGCTAATATGGCAGTAACAGTTGTGGGCGGGGCTTGTAAAATATGACATCACATTTTACAGATTCTGTGAACGGCTTGTTCTGAGAAAAAGGTTAAAACTTTTTTAAATTTAAAAAAAAAAAAAAAAGAGCGTTCAATTTGTGGTTGAATCAATACCTTCGTCTCTTGAATGGAGATTTGGGCATATCGGCTGTGGGGACCATCTGCTCTCCTGGTCTCACCCACATGATGGGACCATCATCACTCTGAGACCTGCAGTCAAGCTTAAGGCAAGATAGGCTGCCCCATGGCAAAGTCATCTGCATAAACAAGTTAAAACACAAGTTGAGAAGTTAAAGCAGTGCCGTAGTCTTGCCCTGACTGCTGTCTGAAAGTGTGAAGGCAAGAAAAAACTGGATGAAGGGTTTTCTTTTCTGTGACATATTTCCTATTGAAACAGGACATTGAGATGGAACATATCACAGCCATTATTCATGACTTGCAACTTGCTGTTGCTTAGGAATGCATATCAGTTACTGGCTGATATTAGACTTTTTATTGATATTGGATAAATTGCTAATTTTCCCTATTTTTACGTTTAGATTACCTTTGCCATCATCCAATACTCATTTAATCTTTAAAAATAATAATAATGTAATAACAAAAGTTAAATTTAATAGCAAATCTCGCAGTACAATATAATGTTATGATGACTAAAATCACGAGCATCTTTAAAAATCATTGATTTTAGTTTAGATTTTTATTATTAAGTATACAAATTAGTATAGAATCTTATTATTTACGACTTAGTTATCAATTTGTTAGTTATCAGTATGAAGAATTGCTTGTATTCCTCATTTGTAAGTCGCTTTGGATAAAACATCTGCAAAATGAATAAATATAAATCAGTCATGACATTATTATTGGCTTTTAGAGGTGCATTTTATTCTATAAAAATATGTATATGCCCCAATATTTTGGTCCATTTATTTTGCCAACTTTTAGGAGTACACTAGCATTCACTAAAGTTTGGGTTAATTTTTTGCTTTTAAAAATAAAAATTTGCTTTTAAAAATAAAAAAAATATTACCGTCATCAAGGATACATTTAATAGATCAAAAGTGACAGTAAAGATATTAATAATGGTACAAAAAATTTGATTACAAATAAATGCTGTTTTTTTATTTTATTTCTATTTTTATTATATTTATTTCTATTCATTAAGCCTGAAAAAAAAAAAAAACATTTTCAAAAATAATTTTAAACGGCACAACTCTTTGCATGATAATAATAAAAAATATTTGGGTTAATTTTTTGCTTTTAAAAATAAAAATTTGCTTTTAAAAATAAAAAAAATATTACCGTCATCAAGGATACATTTAATAGATCAAAAGTGACAGTAAAGATATTAATAATGGTACAAAAAATTTGATTACAAATAAATGCTGTTTTTTTATTTTATTTCTATTTTTATTACATTTATTTCTATTCATTAAGCCTGGAAAAAAAAAACAATTTCCACAAAAATTTTAAACGGCACAACTCTTTGCATGATAATAATAAAAAATATTTCTTGAGCACCAAATCAGCACGTTAAAATAATTTCTGGAGAATCATGTGACACTGAAGACTGGAGTAATGACAGCTGAAAATTCAGCTTTGCCATCACAGGAATAAACTACATTTTAAAATGTATTAAAATAGAGATATTTAAGAGTTATTTTAAATCATAATAACATTTGACATTCTACTGCATTTTCGATCAAATAAATGCATCCTTGGTGAGCATAAGAGACTTAATTTAAAAAACATTTAAAAAATCTTTCAGGCCTCCAACATTTGGATGGTATACACCTCACAGCAAATAAACATGGACTAAAAGTCACAAATCTCAAATTTTGATGTTATGGGGTTTTTAAAAGTAAAGAGATGCAAACAAAATTCTTTACATAAGTGTGCAAGACGATACCATTCATCTAGGTCCAAATCGTAAGAAACTCTGCAGGCAAACAGTGAATTGAAACACACCATTTGCACTACAAAACACCTTCAGCACAAAGCCTTTCAAACTCACTCATCTGTGAGAGATTATGTCCTAACCTTCAGAAACGGAGACTCCTCAAGCATGTCCAAGAACTCCGGGAAGTAATCGCCCACCTCCTCATCTACTGCACCGACCAGACTGATTTGCCTCATGGGACCAGCTCTATATGTCCCAGAGCAGTACGTTCGGTTCACCTGCAACACAAAAGCACTTCAAATACGGGAAACATCGTAACACACACCCTTTATCGTAGTGTGCATTAAATATAATGATATAATAATATCAATAGTGTGCATTTTTTTAGAACTTTAGTATATACTACTTTTTAAAGTTTCATGATACTAACAAAAAGTTTAAAGGCCCATTTATGCAGAGAAAGATAACTATATTATTGTTCACACCAACGGAACAATAATGATGTGTTTATTAAAAGCACAAGCTGCGGTCATGTCGTTTGCTGCTTTAAATGCTCAAGCTCTTTCAAGTCAGGTGGATTCTGATTGGCCGTTATTGTTTTTATCATCTGTACAAAATCATTCTGAAAGTGACTCATTATTTTTCTCATCTGTGTCATTATTGTTATAGTTCTCATAGAATTAGAACAATTATTTAAACATTACTTCTTATAGTTATTGTCTATTGTACCTGCCTTACAGGGGTCATATGATGTTGCTAAAAAGAACATTATTTTGTGTATTTGGTGTAATGAAATGTGTTTATGCGGTTTAAGGTTCAAAAAACACACTTTTGGAAGGCCAAACAAAGTAGTTTCACTTTCACAACGAAAAACACGGCGGCCTAGAGTGAGCGGAGGGCGGTGGGCCTGAGTGAGTGGCGGCGGGTGGGCTTGAGAACGGCACGGCCGGCATATTCGACGAAGTATCATATGACCCCTTTATGGCAAGATTTACAGTAATATGGTTTTTAGACTGCCATAAAATTAAAATAACTTCCCTAAACTGTGATTCTCCTGCTTGTTATGAGAATGAATGCAATAATATCAGTTTGTTTTATCGATGCGACAGCAGAAGAAAAGCCTGACGGTTTGACTGCGGGTAAATTTGGTCTACATCACTTAAGACTGTTATTGTACTTTGAACTGCCACCTTCTAGCCACCTGACTTCTGTAAATAATAAATGCACCTGCTTTAAAAGTCCTCTAAAAGTGGGAAAGGCTAAATGATTGGTATATACTTAATTTAGCGAGCTACACATCAATGTATCCTGCCAAAAACAAGCCATGGCTTGAAGGTACAACGCAAAATTAATGAGTGCAAAGCGTCATCCTACCTGAGAGTGGAAGTTGGCAATCGTGGTGGTCTCAATGTCCTTTTTACCAAGGATTTCCATCTTGACAGGTGTATTTGGAAAATTGAAGGCAAAGTAGTCCAAGAAATCAGGCAGGTAGGCAGCCGCTCCGTGCACCACTGCGAGTGCGTAGCGTGCGGCTCCTTTAGGGTGTTCAGCAAAGGCGAGATCCAGAAACTCCTGGGCGAATCTTTCAGTGTCCCCCGGTCGCAGTAAAGACAGTTCATCTGCGTAAGCGTGTAGTACAGATGCCCCTCCATTGGGCTGCTTTTCCTCATGGATCAGACTGCTGAAGGAGGTGTTGGTCTGAAGCCACGAGCTGCGGATGAAGTGGTCTCGGTGAGAGAGGAACAGCTTCTTCTCAGCTTTGGGAGTGTAGTACTCACCTAAGCTTGGACATGGCTTTTCATCTTTGATGTACACATGCAACACAGGGTCTTCAGAAGATGGCAGAGCATCTCCTGTTAATCCTGTACACAGCGTCTGGACCTCTTTGTTGTGCACGCGCAACTTCTTGCCCCGCTCATCTTCACGATGCCGCTTCTTCTTTTTCTTTTTCTTTAGGAGGTATTCTTCCAGGGTCTGGGTTTTGCCATTCTCATTATGGGGCTCTGAAAAGATCAACAGAGATGGTAGAACTTAGAAAAACTTTTGTTCATAACGTCTAGGTGTTTACCTATGTAAAATTATTTTGTGGATACTTGAAAAGTTGTTAGATACTACTTGGTAATCAAGTCCAACAATTCTGAACATTTGGTGGTCCTGAAAGAAGTTATCTCTGTAATACGCTCCTACATATCTAATACTACATTTACATCAATTTACCATGGTAAATACTGACCACAGTTTTGCGAACGATACCATAATCACTAAAGTTGTTGTTGTTATTACCCAACTCATATTAATTATTTTTTAAAAAGAGTTTGGCGGTTCCATGTTACAATGATAGTGACAGATGGTAATACTATGGTACTGTGTTTTAAATCTTAACACAGTCGAGTTAAGGCTGCTCTGTGCCTGCTCAAAATTCTATGTAAAGACATAATGGCGAATAAAAGCCAGGCTAAATTAAGCCTGCTCTGACCCACATTAGCCCCTAGTATCATAGCATACAGTTGTATTAGCTGTGTGAATGCACACATTTTGTGCCGCAATAAACATTCTGTGTAAAGACGGCTAAAAGCCACTTCAGAAGCACTCCTGTGTCAACTTTGAAGTGTAAATTTGCCATAAAAATACAGTATAGAGTTATTACCATATACGGTATATATGGTATCGCAAAACACTTCAAAAAACATCAACGTAATGTGTCTAAAAACATGGCACTGTTATGATATCGTGTTAATAAAAAGCTATAGTAGTATCGCGTTACTTATGTTTGTGAAATTACAGATTACCGTAGTTACAGCGAGTTTAGTAAACAGTAAACATGACAGCTGCAAAGAGAACGTCTCTAATACTAAGCAGCGAAAAAGTATTCAGTTATACTTCATTTAAAAGCACTTTGGCAGCGGTGAAAAGTTTATTTCTCAATAAAATGTAGCAGTTCTGCTCATCTGCACGTACACTGAGCTCTTGTGAATGGGGGCGTGCTCGCGCATGGGTTAGCAGCGGAGGCTAACGGCACTTTCTCCGCTCACTTCTCAAGTTGGAAGCCAGCCAGAAATATAATATCGTTTGGCTTACGTCTAAACGCTATTAAAGTTACCTTTCGTCTTCTTGCATTCCCCCACTTTAACATTCGCCTCGGTGTTTTCCTTCTTGGGCTTGAGTTTGGCGTCCTTCTCGATGTGTTTGGGCTTGTTATTGGGGGTCTCGGCCTTCGCTACTTTGAGCGGCGTGAAAGTGAAGAGCGGGGAAGGCGGCAGGACCGTCTTCTGCGGGACGTGACCCGCTGCTGGTGTCACTTTGCGCGGCGGCCATCCCGGAGGTAATTCTTTCTTTGAGCTGTGATGGTGATGATGGTTGTGATGGCGGTGTTGCACAGGTGCCTGCTCTTTGCTGAAGTCGCGCGCTTGGCTGTTCTGTTGTTGGTGCGGTGGAAGCGCTCGTTGTTGGGCATGTTGGTGATGGTGTTGTAGCTTTATTTTCTTCGCTTCCTTCTCCGCTCTCTCGCGCTTGTCATCGGACGGCGAACATTCCCGTTTTTTCTTCTTTTTCTTCTCTTTGGTGGCTTTGTCAAAACTGTCACTTCTCTTCTCCTCTACTTTGACGCGCAGTAGATCGACCTGTGCAGCCATTTTGCACGTAAATTTAAAAGGCTTTAAAAGGGATTTTTCGCGCATGTCTATTGGGAGCCGTAGTTCTTTTGGCCGTAGCCAATCGGAGCTCACGCGTTTGTAGTTTTCCCGCTCGGAGCGCGCATGCGCACAATTGGTAGCTTTGTGGGTAGTGATGTTTCTGGACTGCCATGGTTCAAGGGCTGCGTGCGCTGCTGACGTAATGCTGTAGCAGCTTCAGGGGTTGGGCGGTTCCGTTTCGTTGAGTGGAGATAAATGCGCTTTGCGCTGAGCTCACAACCAACAAAAGAGCAGCACATAACATCCTGGAAATAATAGTTGCACGGTGTTGGATTTCTTTAGTGGGCGTTTACACAGGACTCTTTCTTGCTAATTGGGCTATTTTTGGGTGGTCTATGTATACAACATGAGTCAGACGGACGTCTTCGGATATTGCGTCGCATCTGCCTGTCATTGGCGGCACGAGCTTTGCGTTTTTTAAGTCGGCGTGTCAAATTAAAAATAACCATGTCTGGTTCGTGAACGAATCGTTCATATGAGTCGGATCTTTTCAAGAATCTATTGATTCAACTTTACGATGCTTTTGGGAAACGCAGCCCTGGCTTAAACGGTTCACGAATCGGACGGAATCGGTTTGTGATTCTTTCGATTGAACAGCTCACTGACTTTTGAAACAAGAAACGATGGTAAGAACATTTTGTGCAATGGAGAAATTTAAAATAAAAATACTAAAAATGTGTTGCTTGTTTGTATGAATTGTTTTAAATAAGTTTCAAGTTAATTGTAGTATTTTAAGTAAATGTAAATTGTATTTAGGTTCTAAATGACACTGTTTAAAAAAAATTCAGTCATCGCCGCAACAGACTGACAATAGATTGGAAAATAACCATGTTTTTATTACAGAATCAATATGTTGGGATGGGACCACGTGATGGCATAATTACAAAAGAATCGCTGAATCGATTTACAAACTGGGTCTTTGGTATGAACTGTTCGAAAGAACCTGTTCACGGATGTTGAATCGAACTTCCCATCACTTTTGTGTGAACACCCCCTTAAATGCAATTAAACGTGCACTGTCACTCATGTTAAATAATGTAGGAAATCAGACATTTAAAAGATCAAGAGGCATCTTTTCAGTAAATCTTTATTTATCAGTGCATGAACAGAAGGTCATGACCAGATTAATTTCTTTAAACACTCTTTCTATATATATATATGCTTATACTCTCAATTACTTAAAAAAATAATGGAGTGATTTATAGATTTTTTTTCTTCTTGTTTTTCCCCTCACGAAGGCAAGTTTTATACAGGTGCTGTACATTGTATTTTTATAAACATTTACAACTACCACAATGTAGAGACCACAAGGCTTTTTTTGTGTAAGATAAAGCAATGCAAGGCCACAGTATCATACATACAACCCCAGGACATGAGATGCACTAGAGAAACAAGCTACAAAAGGGTTGAGATTAATGATCACGAAGCAATCATAAACCGTATTAGAAAGTATTCACATTTTTCATCATGACAAAACATAGAAGCGCTGCAGCATATGCAATGTTTGACTGATGTCTGCTCTGTCCGTATGGACACTCAATATTTATGGTATTTCAAAAATACTGTTACGAAAAAAGATATTAGACATTGTTATATCTTGCGTCTGAATCTGTGCCAATTGTTTGAGGCTTTAAGAACCTGATGAATAACATCCAACATAATTCAGAGCTACATTTCCCTTGGATATAAGACAGCATCTTGACATTTAATCTGAAAGATACAGATGCACAAAGACACTTTAAATGAATATGAATTCCCAATATTGGGAAAATGATGCAGTATGAATCATTTGATGTGCTAAAAAGAATAAGAAAAAATATATGTTAGATTGGATAGTATGCAAAAATATATCTGAATTTCTCCCAGTTCTGCTTCACCTGCTAATGATACGAGTGAACATTTGATCCCAAATGTACACACCTTGCAAATGCTCCACCGAGATTAACTGTAAAAGCTATAGCACTGTGAAAAAATATGTTTGTTAGGAAGCCGGAAGTCGTATCGGCAAGCTGGAACACTAATAAGTGACCTGGCTCAGAATGGATACAAATATCTATACCTCTACATGTATATGTTTATATCATCATATTCATTTCAATAAATTACATATGCGTCTTCATCAACACACAAGTAGTAAACAATATACTTAACCACAAGTTTCTGGTCTTTTAAAGATGGATATGTGGAAAATTCACTGCAAAAAACTGAATAATGCACAGCCTACACAGAGTCACTTCTCAGGACTGGATCTTGAGGACAGTTGCATCACTGGAAAAGTCTTTGTAAGGACATGCAGCGAATCAAAGATGGAGAATTAGGGATAGTTTACCCAAAGATCTATTTTGTCATCATTCACTCATCCTCATGTCATTTCAGCCCTGTATTTCTGTCTTCAGTGGAAGATGAAAGATTTTATGGTCTATACACAATAGAAGTCAATGGTCACCAAATTGATTTGGCTACCAACATTCTTCAAAATATCTTCTTCTGTGTTCTGCAGAGTCATACCGGTAAATGCTGACAGAAGTTTCATTTTTGGGTGAACTATCCCCTTTTTTAAATATTAACAGACATTTTAAACCTTCACAGAAAAGCATCCTTCATGTTATTGTCACATGGATGACATCGAGACATGGATGAGTCTGCAGCTGCAGTCTGATTGGCACAAAACAAAACTGAGGCTCGTATTGTTGGTGGACACAAACAAACGCTGCATGTTATCAGTGTAGATGGTGATAGTCATACAAAAAAAGACAAAATCCACAGTGATTCACATCAATAACTGCTCCCAAACGCATTAGACTCCATGCACCGGAGGCTGAACCCTTGTGGAGCTGGGCACCTTCCAGGGGCCTGGGGTTATAGGGGCTCTCTTGGTGGTAGGGTTCCCATTGTGGGGAGTCTCTTGAGGCACGCCCTCAATGTCCTCTGGCCTGTCTCGTCCTCTATGGTCCTTCCGGTTGAGGGTACCGCTTTCAGACCTCTGAGGTTCTGCTGTCTTGTCCCTCTGGTATCTGTCACTGCCACCTCTTGAGACCTCAGGTCTGCTTTCTCCCGTTTCCCTGTCCTGCTTGTGCATAGTGTCCTCGTCTTTGTATCTCCTTCCAGAGTTAGGCTTCAATCCGTCAGTGGCCTTTTGAGGCATTTCCTGTCTGATCCCACTGTTTTCCTTCTTGGTCTTCCTGGGGCTTGCGGATCGAGGTTCTCGTTCACTAGGGTCGTTCCTGTTGTCCATGTTTAGAGTCTTTTTTGGACTCCGTGAGCGTTCTTTCCCATCCTGTCTTCGAGGGAGTGTAAAATTGTCATTGTTGTTGCGAGGCATGCTTGGGTCGCTCTTTCTAGTTTGCTGTTTGGCGTCTCTGTAATGTTGGTAAAGTTGTCCGTGCGAAGTGGCCACCGGGTCGAAGAAGAGCTCCTCGGGTGGAGAGGGGTTGACCTCAGGGGAGTGAGAGATGAAGGATGGAGATGCTGGTGTCAACGGCTCATTGGATGCAGAATACCTTGGAGAGTTTGCAGATGGACCTGTCATCATATCCTTAACATCTGAAATGCAAAACATGGTAATAATTAGTGTCGGAAGATAGAGAAGAACATTAAAACCATTTATTTTAAAGGTGCACTCAATCTGTTTTGTAACATGTAAAAGAGCAAATCAGTATTTATGGTTAGTAAGATGTTTTTTGAATAAAATTAATTATTTTATTTAGCAAGGATGCATTACGTTGTGAACAAACAGCTGCAATAAAAGTGACAGTAAAGGCATTTATAATGTCATTTTTTAAATTTGAAATAAATGCTATTCTTATAAAACTTTTTATTCCTCATAATCCTGAAAAAATGTTTCATGGTTTACACAAAAATACATTAAGCATCACAATTGTTTTCAACATTGATATAATAAGAAATGTTTCTTGAGCACCAAATCAGCATATAAGAATGATTTCTGAAGGATCATGTGACACTGAAGACTGGAGTTATGATGCTGAAAATTCAGCTTTGCCATCACAAAAATGTACATTTTAAAATATATTAAAATAGAGAAAACGCTATTTTAAATTGTAGTGCTATTTCACAATATTACTGTTTTTTTCCCACTGTATTTTTGACTGAATAAATGCAGTCTTGGTGAGCAAAAAAAAATGTAGGTGAGGTGAGCCGCTCCAAGTACATACAAGTTGATACAGTATAACTGGAGTGAATGCACAATGTACTTTTAAATCTGTTTCAAATGTGCTGTTCATTTCTCTGTGTAAAACTTTTTTAATGAAGAAAAATGACAGAGTGCACTTTTAAACATTGCGAATTGGATTTAGCAAATCTGCAGAATACAACTGATAGACTGAACATAATTAACCTGTCTTCAGCAGAGACATTCTCAATTAAACCGTCCCAGTTTTCAGTCTTCAGTGGCTTTTTGCCTCCAGATACAGTGACGCATATCAAGCAGCTGAAACCGGCTATGAGAAAGAGTCAGACCCAGAATGGCAAAGTTGCAATTTTCTCTCAAGATAAAATGTCACGCCACAAGACGTGAAGCAACAAGAACCAAAAATTAAACCAAGCCGGTGGCTCCTGACATGGGTTTCAATTTCTTTCTCATTTAACTGGTATGAAATATATTTGGTCACATATTTAGGCTCTAAGATTTACCCAGGATGCATCATTCCAGAGCGGTACTCCCAACTAAGGACATGTGAACTCCAGGGGGTTCTTGAAAAGATTTCAATTTTGATTAAATTATGACATGTCAGATTATAGCTTACAAATAAAAGTGCTGTCACTGATTAAAATATCTAATCATTATCAGTGTTATTATCATTAACAAAAAATATTAACTGAAATAAAGCTGAAATAAAACATAGTGGATGAAAAACTTAAAGGGTTAGTTAACCCAAAAATGAAAATTAGCCTGTTATTTACGCACCCTCAAGCCATCCTAGGTGTATATGACTTTCTTCTTTCAGACGAATCCAATCGGAGTTATATTAAAAATTGTCCTGGCTATTCCAAGCTCTATCATTGCAGTGGGCGAGTGTTTCTGTTCAACAGTCCAAAACACGTTAAATAAAGTGCGCACATTCGGGCCTATATTCACCCCCCGGAGCCGTGTGAGGCACGTTTTATTATGGATGCGCGCAATTTATTTACCGTGTTTTGGACTGTTAAACAGAAACACCCACCTAGAGAATCCATGCGTTTTTGTAGGAAAAATATCCATATTTCAAACGTAATAAACACTTTTCTATCACTTACGCTATCTGTCATACGCGGAAGCAGTTCCGGCGGGTGACGTAAGACGTCGGCGTTGCGTGATTAGTGACGAACGCAGAGAGAGAACAAAACAAAACGCCGGTCATGAATTAGACGTGCAAACCGAGGACTTGTAAAGACAAATGTCGGAGGATTTTGATATAAGCCAAGAGGAGACTGGCTTTCCTTTGCTAAAGTAAGGAAACGTTGCTTCTTTTGCTCCTGTAAACAAACTCGTGAGACTAGCATATCTCAGAGGTGCAGGCGCGCACGACACATACATCCTACGTCATCCGCCAGAACAGCTTCCGCATACGACAGTCAGCAGAAGTGAGAGAAAAGTGTTTATTATGTTTGAAATATGGAATTTTTCTTACAAAAACGCATGGACTTGCTACAGGAGGCCTATATTCCCCCCCCGGAGCGTGAGTAAAACACAGGCTAATTTTCCTTTTTGGGTGAACTAACCCTTTAAAAATTATAAATCTTGCGCTGGCAACTAAGTTTCAGATGAAGTATTTAAATTACTAAAACAATAAAAATGCTAAATAGAAATAGACAAAAAATATATATTTAAAAATGCCAAAACATACATGCATACATGCACGACACATACATCCTACGTCATCCGCCAGAACAGCTTCCGCATACGACAGTCAGCAGAAGTGAGAGAAAAGTGTTTATTATGTTTGAAATATGGAATTTTTCTTACAAAAACGCATGGACTTGCTACAGGAGGCCTATATTCACCCCCCGGAGCCGTGTGAGGCACGTTTTATTATGGATGCGCGCAATTTATTTACCGTGTTTTGGACTGTTAAACAGAAACACCCACCACAATGATAGAGCTTAGAAGAGCCAGGACAATTTTTTATATAACTCCGATTGGATTCGTCTGAAAGAAGAAAGTCATATACACCTAGGATGGCTCGAGGGTGAGTAAAACACAGGCTAATTTTCCTTTTTGGGTGAACTAACCCTTTAAAAATTATAAATCTTGCGCTGGCAACTAAGTTTCAGATGAAGTATTTAAATTACTAAAACAATAAAAATGCTAAATAGAAATAGACAAAAAATATATATTTAAAAATGCCAAAACATACATGCATACATGCATATATACACACACACACACACACACACATATATATATATATATATATATATATATGCATATATATATATTCTGAAATTATAAAAATAAAAGCATATTCAAAATATTAATAAATAGTATAATAGTAAATAAATAATACTAATTGTTGTACTGTAAATCATTTTATGTACATTTACATTGAATTGAAAGCAACAATTTATGTGATTATTGTTTTATGAAAGTGTGAACAAAAATGAACACAAAAGAGGAAACTGTTCTAGAGAATAATCACTGCATGTTTATATAGATATATATGGCCATGAAATTAAATCTGCAGAATTCTCACCACTGACATTTCCTTTTTTTTCTTTCGAGACCTTCAGAAGCAGAAGGTTCATTTTAAGGCAAATGAAAGGGAAAAAAGGTAGAACTGCACATACACAAAATAAGCATAGAGGAGGAAAGCAAAGTTTACCAAAGTTATTAGGGACAGACCAAGAAAAGCAGAGAAGCCTTTAGTGATGCTCTGGTTTCATGTGGAAGAACAGTGTGGAGGAGGAAGAGTTCAGACCTAAACCAGGAAGAGAGAGAGAGAAAGAGGTGCATAGAACAGTGCCCGGACAGAGAGAAAGAAACCAGCAAAAATTGAGACAGGAAGCAAGAGTGACAGCAATGCATGAAGATAGGAAGATCTGACATAACATGCATATGACCCACATACCCAAATCACCCAATAGGCCTTATTCACTAATAATTGAGTACTTGTGTGCGTACTTATCTATTTTTGCAATTGGTGTTGATCCATATGCATGCAATGTTTAGGCAATATAAAGGTAAGTATGATGATGATTGTAATATTTCAATAAAACCACCGTGGTTATACTCTATATGAGTCTATTTTGTAATAATGTTCTGAACAACAGTACCCATGTTGCATGAAGTACCTTTAGAAAACACTCTGTTGAGAAAAGATAACCGTCACAATACATTTTCAATGGCTTTTGAAACAGCAGTAGAAAACAAACCCATCTTCAAAAAATTATTTGTTTCTCAGAGGGGAACATGTCGGCTTCAGGGAACTGATTTTTCTCGGTTCATGAAGCAGACGGAATTCAAATGAGCGCTTCTGCACTTCTGAACAAACCTAAAGAGGTGGTTTGCTATGGAGAACGTTTCTCTTGGGTATGTCGGTTCATTGGCCTGACTTGTTTGAGAGGTCAGGTATTAAATAGACTCACTATGATCAGGCACCAGTCCCAGTCCGGGCCTCAAAAGCAGCAGCACTTTATTGCCCCCGGCCTGGATGAGCTCAATGGCCCGTGTGTGTGTAATGCCCTGCGTGGGTTCACCGTTGATCTCCACGATCTGATCTCCCACCTGCGCGGTCACAAACACAGATTCCTCTGTCATTTTAACAAGAACCACTGACAATATCAATAAACTATATCATAAAATGTTTCATGTTAGAAAACATAAAAAATGTGTATTATTTTGTATTTTATTAGTTGCATAATTTAATTTTAATTAACAATTTTGTATTATGTATAATAATAATAATGGTTAAATATTTATTACATTTTATTATTCTTTTTTTTATTCTTTTTTTTTTTAAATCTAAAATACACACTACTGTTTAAAAGCTTAGGGTCATATTTTTATTCAGCATTAATTGACCAAAAGTGACAGTAAAGACATTTCTAATGATAGAAAATATTTTCATTTCAAATAAATGCTGTTATTATCTATAGCTATATATTATCTACTCAAAGAATCCTGAAAAGTGCATCACGGTTTTCACAAATAATTATTTTCAACATTGATAATATTAAGAAATGTCTGTTGAGCACCAAATCAGCATATTTAAACCATTTCTGAAGAATCACGTGACACTGAAGACTGAAGTAATGGCTGCTAAAAACTGAGCTTTGCAATCACAGAAATAAATTACATTTTAAAATTGATTAAAATAGAATACAGTTATTTTAAATTGTAATACATTTTCACAATATTACTGTTTTCTCTGTATTTTAAATAAACATTAATAATGAAAATAACAAATTACAAATAATTAATAATAATATATGCCTTGGTAAGCATAAGAGACATTAAAAATCTTACCAACCCCAAACTTTTGAATGGTAATGTATTATTCTATTTTATATAATCATTAAAATATTATGTAACGTAAAACATTATGCATTTTTCACTGTTCCATTTATTAATATGAGGTGTTTCATTGTTTCATTTATTATTGTAATAATGTCTTACGGTTCTTTGTGTATTATGTGTTAATGTCACGAGAGCTCACATGTATTCTGCCATCTTTCAGTGCAGGACCGTCCTCGGCTAGTCTAAGTATAAAGAGGCCCATATTATACTCCTTCCCTCCTCGCAGACTGAAGCCAAAACCTCTCTGTCCTCTCTCCAACTCCACAGGATAACAGCCCTGAAAAAGAGAGATATCAGTTACATTTTTTACATGTTAAAATAAACAGCTCAACACAGCCTGAATTCAACTTTAGACCGATCACATTACATTTAATTGCACTGTAGACTCGCTAAACTATGCAAATATATTATCACACATTTCTTGGGAGGGAGTCTCTCGGGAGTCGAGAATGACGATCGAGGCTTTGTGCAGTCATCTGTGGGTCCTCATGTGGCTTCGAAGCCCAAAGGCAGAAGCACAGAGGCGGTTGCAGAGGGGGCAAGGTTCGCCAGTAGTTGGGGCAGGGGTAACGGCGGCTCTGTGTCTGCGTTCTCTTGCAGCTGCAAGATGATGCTGACGGTCCTCTTCAAATGCGGTGGCTGCTTTATTAGTTCGGGCGTGCCAACTGGCTCTGTCAGAGGCGGCAAGCTCCAACTGCTTTGGGTTCAGGTCAGCCCATTTTAGATGTGACTTGAGATTATCTTTTCTTTGGGCGCCTTTGGTGTCTGAACCCTGCGGCCAGCTCTCCAAAGAACACCTGCTTTGGCATCCTCTGCGGGTCCATGCGGATGACGTGGCCAGACCATCGGAGCTGCATTTTCAGAATCATGGATTCATTGCTTGTTGAGCCAGCTCTGTCCAGGACTTCTTGGTTGGTAACTTTGTCCTGCCAGCGGATCTTCATGATTGACCGGAGGGAGCGATGGTGGAACTGCTCCAACTGTTTGATGTGTCTCCGGTAGGGCGTCCATGTTTCGCAGTCGTACAGAAGTGAGGTGAGGACCACTGCTCTGTATACTTTGAGCTTGGTGGAGAGGCGAATGCCGCTGCTTTGGAGCGCAGTCTCCCAAGAGCTTGACTGGCCTTTTGGACTCTGGTATTGATCTCCTGGTCCAGCAGACGTTTTCCTCTTTTGTTTTTTTATCCGCCATCTCTATCTTTCTGTCGCTCGGCTCGGTTCATGTCCGTCCCATGCACTGAACGCGCTCTCCTCCACATCACGAGTAGATACGCCCCTTATTGCTGATTGGCTACAAGTTTGTTTTGCGATTCGGCCCGAATCAGTTTTCTAAAGTGTTTTTGAAAAATCACTTACTCTGCCTTTAAGTCAGTTGCATTATAATCTGTGAACTTTATTACTACACAAATTTTTACTCAAAGAAGTGCCGTCGTCTCATTTACATCTCACCTGCTTTGGTCCTGAGGTGATCTCACCCTGCGGCTGGGATTTGTACTCCGCTCGGGCCATAGTGTCCTTCCTCTCCTCCGTTTCTACGCCATTCCTAAATGACACACAATTAAACGCTACTTTAGGGCATTTAATGAACTGCTGCACAAAATGAAAGCATCTCCCTTCATCCAACGTCATGTTATCCAGCGCAGCTAAGAGCGGTTTTGTTCATGAGAACATGCAGTTCAAAATCGTAATTCGCACAAAGAGGCTGAGAGTCTCTCTTCCGGACCTCAATGGTCTGCGGAGCTCATTACATCCTTTTGTTGGTCTTAAGTGTGGCCAAAAGCTTAGACAGTGGCTGCCCCTCTTATCTGAGCCATGACTGTGGAGCGAGTTCACAACAAGTCTACTCAATTTTATGCTGAAAAGAATGACCTGGATTGGGATTGAAATGAAAGGAGAGGTCGTGAGCATTCTTGACAGAGGAGAAAATGGAAAGAGGTAATTGAAATTGGAAAGATGTAGAAGTGGAGAGGGCAGGGTGTCATGTTGCATAACATATCATATCTGCAGAGGTCTTGGGCCCTGTTTCTTGAAGGTATAAAAGACAAGCTATTTTAGCTATAGTATTTATTATTTGCTAAAAGTATATTTGGGTCTCTTAAACCACACATCCTCAATAGTTTAATTTATCTACTATGAATGTCCAGCCGTTGAATGTACACAACCATTCAAGCATTTGGGGTTACTAAGATTTTTTTTAAAGTCTCCTATATTAACCAAGACGATATACCGTATGTGCAAACATACAGTAAAAACTGTAATATTGTTTTTAAAAATATATATTTTATTTCTGTGATAGCAAAGCTGAATTATCATTATCCTTCAGAAATCATTCTATTATTGATGATTTGGTGCTCAGGAAACATTTCCTAAAATGATCTAATATACACATTACTGTTTAAAAGCTTAAGGTCAAGCTTAGGGCCAGTAAGATTTTAAAAAAAAAATTTATACTTTTATTCTGCATTAAATTGATGAAAAGTGACAGTAAAACATTTATAATGTAACGAAATATTTCCATTTAAAATAAATGCTATTTATATATTATCTATTCATCTAAGAATTCTGAAAAAATGCATCATGGTTTTCACAAATAACTGTTTTCAACATTGATAATAAAAATAAATGTTTCTTGAGCACCAAATCAGCATATTAAAACTGCCTTCAGTTTCTGAAGGATCATGTGACACTGAAGACTGAAGTAATGGCTGCTAAAAATTGAGCTTTGCCATCAAATAAATAAATTACATTTTAAAATGTATTAAAATAGAAAACGGTTATTTTAAATTGTAATAATGTTTCACAATATTACTGGTTTCACTGCATTTATTCTGATTTGGTGTTCAGGAAACATTCCTTAATATTATCAATAAAAAATTGTGCTGCTTAATATTTTTGTGGAAACCATAGATTTGAGTTTTTTTCAGGATTCTTGAGTAAAAAAAGCGGGAAAAAAACAGAACTTATTTGAAATATTAATCTTTTGTAACATAAATGTCTTTACTGTAACTTTTGATCAACTGAATACATCTTTGCTGAATAAATGTATTATTTCTTTAAATAAATCCTTACTGACCCCAAACTGAACAGTTGTGTACATGTATCACAGACGTTTTGTCAAAATGTCATTTCAATCACATTTTAAATCATTGAATTGTTTGCAAATGTTTGGTTTTTAATGGTCATCTTTGTCTCACTAATTTCATAGCTAGTATTTTATGTATCCTATATACAATGGGGGGAAAAAATCACTAAATTACAGTTTGATGGCAAATGATGCAGAATAAAAATATTTTGTTCTTAAATCAAACTGATAAAAAATTTGAGATGGTCCTCACTGCAGAACACAAGATCCAGGTAGCGTCCCACCTTACATATACCTAAACCTACCCGTCTCCACCCCCTGATCCCTAAACCCACCCATCTCCACCCCTAAACCTACCAATCTCCACCCCCTAGATGTGGATCCAACCACGCCCCCCGGGTTCTTGTGTTCTGCAGTGAGGGGCTACTGAAAAATTCACATAATAAATACTTAAATCGTGTTGTTTAGATGATCATAGTTCTTAAAAAAGTAACAATCAATAGCCATACATTGAGACTTTTTTTAATGAAACAGTAAAATGTTTGTATGTGGACTGTAAAGACTGATTGTGTGTGTGTACGTGTGTGTTGTGATTGAACTGGCCGTCAGGATGGAGCTTGTACCTGTCATCTCGGCTGGCAGGCTGCTGTCCCACGGCTCTGTGCTGGGTGGCTGGGCTCTGCTTGGCTGAGCTAGTGCCTGACGGCGGTCCGCTGTGTTCTGAAAAGTAAACAGGATTCTCAGTGTGGCAGAAACACACATAACACACACAACTCCATCCCAAGTGACACTTTCAATCCTCAAAGTCAAATGCTTTAACAACCTGTATGTTACAGAACAAAAATCAATATGCATTCTACTGCTTCCTTCTATCAGCTTATTGTTCACCAGAATAATGAAGAGAAATGATATAGTTTCCTCAAAAGCTTACCCTCCTCAGGCACAACCGTGAGGGTAACAGCATTCCCAGCTTCTTTGATGAGCTGCACAATGTCATTGTGGGACAGCTCAATAATTGACTGGCCATTCACAGCAGAGATGCGGTCACCCACTTTCAGCCGACCGCAGTGGTCTGTGGGACTGCCGTCTATGATGCGACCAATCTTATGCGGGATAACTGAGGACAGACAGAGATCAATGCTTATTTCATTTATACATCTTAGATATACTGACAGACTAGAAGCACCACAAGATCTGAGATAGTGATAACTGATACATATAAATACATTTGATTATTCTCAAAAGGTTTACAGTTGTGTCACATGATCAGGAAAAACACCATGCATTACACGGTACATACACTATGAAATGAACATATAAAAAAAAAATCACAAAATGTGTTTCCACATAAATAACAGTTTTTAGCATTGATAATAATATGAAATGTTTTCAAAACAGCGTATTTTTGAAGGATCATGTGACACTGAAGACTGGAGTAATGGCGGCTGAAAATTCAGCTTTGCATCACAGGAATAAATTACATTTTAAAATAAACTAACATTTCACAATATTACTATCTTGACTAAATACAGCCTAGATATCACAAGGGAAAATACACCCTTCAGCTTCAAACTACATTTTCAACTTTACAGCATAATTTCACAAATAAATCCTACAAACGTTCACATTCAGAGCTAATGGTAAAAGCCATTATATCTGAATAAGGCTTTTTGTTACAGCTCTGGGTTTATTACTGTAATACTTCACAGCTAAGCTAGCTTTGATTGTATTATTGTAATTGCATTGTACAGTATGTCGCCCCTTCAAGCGACTGGATGAAAGACGTAATGTAGATTTCAGCCACATTTTCAACAATGTTATGAGTTTGTAGCTGCACATCTAATGCAGCAGAACAAGGTGTGCATTCGGTAGCTGACAGAAAAGTAGCAAAAAGCTTGAAAATTAGGGTGGGGTGAGATGAAGAGACAGACAGAGGCACACAAGGAGAGACTAATGGAAAAAAGCTTTGAAAGTCATTTCTAACCTCCAGGCGGAGGCTTGTTTTTAGAGGTGAGGATGACGAATCCGAAGCCCTCGTTGTCCTTGCGCTGAAGAGTGACGTCATAGGGCTGAGGGTGGCTGTGGCCGGACACCTCGTTGTGGGGTGCTTTGGGTGAGCCGTTGACCAGCACTGGAGCATGTGGGGCCTGAGGTTGACCCCCATCATCTTCCTCTCTTTCTGCTTAAGCGTATGCAATATTCAGTGTTTAAATGAACAACGATTTGACAAAGATACTGTACAGTGTTATTTTTGTACTAATTATATACATGACAAAAGCACAAAATGGTTTACAAGACTTAAAACAAAAACTGAAAATTTTAAACTTAGATTAGTTGAAGTACTAAGATTTTTTATCACATTTATTTTTTTAATTTTATTTCAGCTTTATATTTTCTAAATTATATTTTCTAAATTTATAAAATAGCTTTATAAATTCTATAATTATAACTTAATTCTCCAAATCGCAATGGGATTGTTTATGTATCAGTGAGGTGCGGATCATTTTTATTGTTCTGGCAGTTACTTTAAGTGTTTGGTCATTGGCAAGTAATACTGTTTTATATGTAATAATCATCAAAGCCAAATTTTTCTTTACTACTGCTAATTTTAGACATCCACCTATTGTATTGTTTTTGTTTTTTAAATAGTTTGCCCGATTCAATCTTGGTCTGATGATTCATGAAAAAAACAATTGGCAAAAATCTCTACCAATGCTCAACATGTAGTAAAACAAAAGAACAAAATCCCAGTCTGCTTTAACAAAACTGAAAGAGAACATTATGAAAGTGTTGAAAAAAACTGCTACGAGGCATAAAGCCAAATTTCAGAATGGCTTCATAATTGAAGTTTTTTTTTTCAAATTATCCAGTGTGTGTTGTCTCGAGGCGTCTTTATTTTATAGTTACTCAGCTCATTGAGTCATTGTTTTATTAACACATAAACAGTCTTTTGCTTTGACTGAAAACAGTGGTCATTAAATTTTGATTTTGTGGTTATTATTTTATAGCTCAACTCGGCCCTTTACTCAGAACTAATGGAGCAAAACGCTCACTTCTCACAGGGAGGGGATCTTTTTTCAGACATCATTGTCAGATACGACTGAAACCTCCGGAGGATGTCTACAGCTATCAGAACATAAATGCAAGCATGCAGTTATCACATACGGATACACAGCAGCAGGGTACGAACCTGGATAGGTGAGCTTTCTGCACACAGTCAACATCACTTGCCCGTTGCGGGCAGCATTGGTCATGAGCTCCAGAACTTGTTTGTGAGATTTGCCTTTGACGGGAACGCCGTCAATACAGATGAGCTCATCTCCGGCCCGCAGACGCCCATCCTTCTCTGCGGCACCCAGAGGAACAATGGCACCAATGTACACCTAAAGAGAGATGACATGGTTAAAGGTCACATCATTTTCCATTGTGACAATATAGTGACAAATCAAAGCATGTCAACACTCACTGGCTGGTCTGGTCCTTCTCCACCCAGCACTCTGAACCCAAATCCAGTCTCCTGGTTCCTCCTGATAAACACGTCCAGTTCTTTAGTGTTGGCGGCTGGAAATCCCCCCCAGCAAAATTAGCTGTCAGCTATAAATATTTTGGTGTAAATGGCAAAACTGTTTCACATGTCCACTACTAGCTCTCTAGACTCACGTTTGCTTTCCAGCATGGCTTTAGACTTGAGGTAGAGCTCAGACGGGTCCAGTTTTGGGGAGTTGGAGCGGATGGCATGAGGAGGAAAGGGGAGGGACTGGGGCCCAGGCTCAGCTGGACTGGGAGTTTCAGTACTGACGGAACTGGTGGCAATGTCCTGCTTCTGGGCACTGGGAATAGCTGGAGTGATCTAAATGAACAGACGGACACACACAGCAACAAACATTACCAAATATTCATCAACATTACAGCACTTCAGTGAATAACACTATCCCGAGTACTATGCCAAACATGGGCGTCTCTCAATATGAAAGGGATGGTTCACCCAAAAATGATATTTCTGTCATCATTTACTCATCCTCACGCCATTCCAAACGTATATGCATTTCTTTCCTCTGCTGAACACAAGCAAATGTTACTAATGTATAATTGATGTATGTTACTATATTACTAATGTATAACTAATGAGTTTTATTTCCCATTGACTTCCATTGTATTTTTAGTCCATTCAATGAAAGTCAATGGGAACCAAAATTGTTCAGTTTAAAATATCTTTTATGTTCTACAGAAGACAGAAAGTCATACAGGTTTGCAATGACATGAGGATGAATACATTCTGAAAGAATTATCAATTTTGGGTGAATTATTTTAAATAGGCCATCAAGTCAAATGCGTCTTTTTTGACTATTTATTAATCATGTACTAATCAAGCAGAAATCTCATTATTTTTAATGCAGTCACTCAAAGCGTGTCCTTATGACTCACATTGTTTATATCCGTGTTGAATACAATGCTATACAAACTGCTGTGAGAGATAATCAACATTAGAGCCTGTATGAGAAACACTTGTGAGAGAAGCCCAATAGGGAGCACTCCTGAGGGGCCTGTTGACTCAGCAGTGACGTTCGCTGCAGAAGCTCGTGTTTGTCTTGAAGTGATTCACCACATCCTGCTCTTAAATTAACATTATAGCGTTTGGCACTTGCTCCGTGAATAATGTACGACTGCAAGGAACGCGCTTCGCTGAAGAACCCAGAACGAGGCAGATAAATAATTCACCGTTTCATCTTCATTTCATCAAAATTCCCTAGTGTGTCTAAATTCAATCCCAAAAATTGAGTAATTAAAAGACATTTAGCTGAACTTACAGGTTTCAGAGACTTCACGGGAGATGTTTGACCTGCAGGCACAAACAGATATAAAGAGGGAAATGAGAATGAGCAAGTGCAGTTGAAGAGGTACGTTCCAAGACTATATAATTACGTTAGACAGAGTCATTTATTGCAGGAGAAAGGCAATTCATCAGTTAATTTAGTAAATTTAAAATCTTTAAAAGTGAAGTGTGCCAGTTTTGCGTCACCAACGACACGAAATGAAATGAAATGAGTATTTCAAACAGGCTTACAGAACACGCTGCCTAGTCCGTCATTGGTCAGATAAACAGATAGCCCCGCCCCAAACTCATGGCATTGGCTGAGCCAAAGTTGGGACAAAACAAACAGAATGTTTAAAATTACAGAAATCAACCTATAACTGGCTTTCTATAAACATTGTACAAGCTGGAGAAAGTATTTTAGCATTAATTGTTTTTCTGCACACTTCACTTTTAATACCAATATCAAGAGCTTTGCAAAATATGAATCAAGTCAGCATCTGTCTCAATGTGAAAAACATAGCACAAATTACTGTTCCAAAGTTTGGGGTCAGTATGTTTTTGTTCTTGACAGAAATTAATAATTATTTTATAGCAAGCATTAAATTGATCAAAAATGACCAATAAAGACATTCATAATGTTACAAAAGATTTTTATTTCAAATAAATGCTGTAAACCTGAACTTTCTATTCATCAAAAATCCGGAAAAAGTAGGCTATCAGTTTCCACATATAAATTAAGCAGCACCATTGTTTTCAGCACTGATAATAATAAGAATTATTCCAGCAGGTTAGAATGTATTCTGAAAAATAAAATAATTTTTTAATAATAAAAGTTATTTTAAATTGTAATAATATTTCACAAAAAGTACTGTATTTTTGATCAAATAAATAAAGCCTTGGTGAGCATAAGAGACTTCTTTTAAAAACATTAAAACATGCCCCAAACTTTTGCAGAGGAACAAAACAAAAACAAAACAAAAAAAACGTATTATTAAAATCCAAAATTTTTCAATCCTGAAGCTGATTTTCAGTAGTATATATTAATACAGTGGAAAACCTTTATAAAAAATCAACACTAGCCACTAAGGGGCAGTGTACTCCACAATGCGTTTACTTATACTGGAGAAATAAATGAGAAGACATAATATATACACAATGGAGCATGATGATCTGTGGCAGGCATGTTGATGTACAGTATGTGTGTGCGCATGATGAAGCCTGCATGTTAACTCTGAATACTAACAAGGCCTAGCTGTCTCTATTGCAAAAAAACAATAACTATGTATGTAGAATATCCACATCTGTGCTACACTGCTCTTTGTGCAGATTTTGAGCATATAATCGTGTTTGTATAAGTCAGAGAAGAAAAGCTTGCTTATGAATTCGCTTGACCTTTTGTAGCCACAATCCGATGTCTGCGCTGTGACAGCCGAAACTTGGAAGTCAGTAAGTGAACACAGAACCTGATATTTTCACTTGGGCTCCAGACAAACCACAGACTAGATGCAATATAGATCTGTGTGTATAGCCGCTATGCGCCCGCTGCTGTGCATGCAAATACAGCATTCAGTTCCATTAAAACATTGTCTGGGTTTTTTCTCTACGAGTTCAGGAGATGGTAGAACTGGTGTAGCAACTGTCTCATGCATATAAACCTTTGATAAAGTGTCCACAAACCGCAGCAGCACAAACTGAAATTGTAGAGACTTTGTACTCAAATGAAGAGGAGTAATTAAGAATGACATCACTTTATTTCGATTATGTCACAAATGAACTTCAATCACCCCAGTAACCTGCTGTACTTGGATGGTTTTACGGAGTGTAAGCGTGAACGTTTTTTCCTTCAGGCGTTAATGGTATTATAGTGATATACGATGATCAGTCTCACTAAAATGTGAGGATCTTCACTCGCAAACACAAGCGTCTATATCTTTGAGCTCTCACCCTCCTTGCTATGTCTCTCGCTTTATTCTTCTTCACACATCTTCAGCTTACATAAATCATTTTCATCACAATTTTATCTCTCGGAGTTCTTCTTTAAAGGGACAGTTCACCAAAAATGAAAACTCTGTCATCATCATTTACTCAGACTCATGTCACTCCAAATCTGTATGACTGACTTTCTTTCTTGTGTGGAATGCACAATTTTCCAAACTAAATGGAGACCAAACGACATTTGACTTTCTTTGACCCCTTTGACTTTGACTATGGAAAAAACAGTCCTTTTTTCCAATGAAGAATGCAAGTCATTCAGGTTTGAAATGACATGAGGGTGAGTAAATGTTATTATTATTGTTAACAAAAACTAAAACTATGAAAATCATTTGCATTAATTGCAATAAAATAATTAAATTATATGACAAATTATATAAAAATATTAGATGAGAAGTAAGATTGGTTTTAGTTATTTTTTAGTTATATAAATTGGGGATAAACTTTAATAAGCTTTAACGAAAATGAGAAATGTTGCCTTTGCAACTAACTGAAATAAATTTTAAGCACTAAAATTATTCAAATGTGACCCCCGACCACAAAACCAGTCATAAGTTGCATGGGTATATTTGTAGCAATAGCCAACAATACGTGGTATGGGTCAAAATTATAGATTTTTCTTTTATGCCAAAAATCATTAGGACATTAAGTAAGATTATGTTCCATTAAGATATTTTGTAAATTTCCTACCGTAAATATATCAAATTTAGATTTTTTGCACCCTCAGATTCCAGATTTTCAAATAGTTGAATCTTGGCCAAATATTGTCCTATCATAACAAACCATACATCTATGGAAAGATGTATAAATCTCAATTTCAAAACCTTGACCCTTATGACCCTTACATTTGTGGTCCAGGGTCACAAATGGAAATAAAAATAAACTAAACCTGAATATAAATATTTAAAAAATCTGCTATAATATATTATGTGCTATTTGCCATTTTTATTCATATTAGTTTTTAAGTATTTCTATTCAACATTATTTTTATTTCAGTTTAGTTGTAGTCATTTCAACCTATTATATTTCAGTTAGTTTCAGAAAGAGCTTCCCAAGCAACATTTCTAATTTTCATTTAAGCTTATCAAAGTTTATGCATAATTTACAGTGGGTACGGAAAGTATTCAGACCCCCTTAAATTTTTCACTCTTTGTTATATTGCAGCCATTTGCTAAAATCATTTAAGTTAATTTTTTTTCCTCATTAATGTACACAATCCCCAAATCCATGTGTGAAAAACTTGTTGCATCTTTCCCAATAAGACTCATGGCTGTATTAGATCAAATGGGTGCTTCTACTAAATACTGAGCATTTTTCAGTTTTTCTTTTTTAATAAATCTGCAAAGATGTCAACAATTCTGTGTTTTTCTGTCAATATGGGGTGCTGTGTGTACATTAATGAGGAAAAAAAATTAACTTAAATGATTTTAGCAAATGGCTGCAATATAACAAAGAGTGAAAAATTTAAGGGGGTCTGAATACTTTCCGTACCCACTGTATATAACAAAACAACTAAAACTGAAACAAAAATTAAAATGAAAACAAAAATATAAAAATAAAAGCTAATTCAGTATATAAACAAATACTACAATAGTATATAAATAGCCTTGTGGGCAACATGCCAACATACAATGCTGTTGCAGTACGGGCGTCCCGAGTTCGAATCCCAACTCGAGGAACTTTTACAAGCCCGCCCCCCCTCTCTCTCCCACTTTGCTTCCTATCGTAATAAAAGGCAAAATTCCAAAAATAAATCTTAAAAAATAAATAAATAAATAATACTAAAACAACACTGGAAAATAATGAAATAATATTCGTTTTTGGATGAACTATCTCTTTAACTGTCACTAGAGCCAGATGAGGCCTGCAGTGGGATGCAGTCAAAATAAATAGGAGGTAATTGGACCCCGGGTCAGACTCTCTCCATAACTCACCTCCTCTGAGCACCAGGACGTTGACCTCGCTGCCCATGGGCTGGTCTTTGAGGATGTCCACCACCTGCGCATGGGTGAGGGTTTGCACGTTCTGCCTGTTAATTTCCTTTATCACGTCCCCCTTCAGCAGACCTCGGCACCACTGCGCATCCAGAATCATCTTCACCTTCTGGCCCAGTGGACAGTCTGCGATGGCAAAGCCGAATCCGCTCGGCCCCTTTACCAAAGGCACGCTGACCAGCTCGGGCTGCAGCAGGGTGGTCTCTCCCGCCTCTGGGTAGCGTCCGTTGGGCATTGCTGCAGCTGGATGTCTGCCATCGGTGGTCATGTAATGGAGGTCCTGCACAGAGGGCGTCCTGTCTGAATGAATGGGCTGCCCGTCCATTCCCGGCATAGCAGTTATGTCGCCCGTGCCCTCTTCGCTGGAGTTGGTGTCCTCTGGCAGCGGGTATCCACGGCACAGGACCATATCCACATACTGATTCACAGGAATGGACTGGAACATCTGGACCACATCTGCATGGGTCTTACCCAGCACACATGTACCATTTATGTCCACTATAACATCACCTAAACGACAGACAAAGAATAAGTATGAATGAAGTAGCTGTTCCAAACCCTACCTAGACAGCATGTTTAGGAAAAGTTATGATGCCTTGCAAAATATCTTGTTTTGGCCATCATCACATGATGTGCCCAATTAAAAAATTACATTTATTTGGTACTGACAAATTGTTCAATCTGATTAAAGTCCACTACTTACTTCAATATTTGTATGTAATATACATTGTGTTATAACTTTAGATATAATGGAAGCATTTTAACATTAGATTCAATGGTAATCATTAGTCAGGTTTCTTATGCGCACTCAGCCTGTTTCAAACAGTTGGATACCTTGTTATGGCCAAAATGGCCAAAGGCACCGTTGAATTTATCCTTCACACATAAGGCATTCCCAGAATGCAATGTGACAAGCTCAGTGAAAATTACATTTATTCAGTACTAAAATGTTCTAAATAAAAAGCAAGTGCTTTGCATTTTTTGTTGTTATTTTACTATTATTCATATACTATTGGAGTATTTGTTAATATTTAAAATAACTTTTTATCTCATACTTTCAGTTTTCATTAGAATTTATATCAGTTTTAGTAATTTTAGCATTTAACTTGCTTATGTTTTAGTTTGTTGCTACAGGCAAACTTTTTTGTTTTAAAGTTTTAAATGATCTATTATTTTAGTTCTTATGTTAATAATTTAATTTAATTCAAATTTTATTTTATTTAAATTAATGAAAATGATTTTTAATAGTTTGGTGTCACAACAACAACACTGTTTTTGCCCTTAATAGAATATTCATTTTTGGCATTTGAAGCGTTTTCTACGGTATGCATTCCTGATGCAACGGCTGTTTCAAACAGTAAAATAGCTATTTCTGGACAAAATATAAGGCAAAATTGTATGTATTTCCATAATACATTTCCATAATACATTTGCGTTAACTATATTTTTTCCAGTACTGAAAAGGATCAACAAAAAAAGTTTATAGTTCTAATTAAAACACAATTACATCCGATATCTGTGTGTTATGCTATTTGTTTTAGTTCAGCAACATTTGAATCATGCATTTTTGACATTTTTGCTGTTTGTGTGGGATGTGAGTGACCATTGTAATTGCTGTCTATATAAAGCCTTTTTAAATCAGTCTCTAATAAGATTCAATTTTAGTAAGCATAGTGTCTTTGAAGCTATCTGACTGTGTATAAAGACAATAGGCAGCAAGGCAAACTCACTCGGATCTGGAACATGGCTACTGTGTTAATTTGAGCGCAGATACAAATCCTGCCAATGTGTTTAAACTGTTCATTTTGATTCCAGCAACGAGAGCTGTCTTGGCTCCTTCTTTTTATTATATATACAGTGGGTACGGAAAGTATTCAGACCCCCTTACATTTTTCACTCTTTGTTATATTGCAGCCATTTGCTAAAATCATTTCAGTTAATTTTTTTTCCTCATTAATGTACACACAGCATCCCATATTGACAGAAAAACACAGAATTGTTGACATTTTTGCAGATTTATTAAAAAAGAAAAACTGAAATATCATATGGTCCTAAGTATTCAGACCCTTTGCTCAGTATTTAGTAGAAGCATCCTTTTGATCTAATACAGCCATGAGTCTTTTTGGGAAAGATGCAACAAGTTTTTCACACCTGGATTTGGGGATCCTCTGCCATTCCTCCTTGCAGATCCTCTCCAGTTCTGTCAGGTTGGATGGTAAACGTTGGTGGACAGCCATTTTTAGGTCTCTCCAGAGATGCTCAATTGGGTTTAAGTCAGGGCTCTGGCTGGGCCATTCAAGAACAGTCACAGAGTTGTTGTGAAGCCATTCCTTCGTTATTTTAGCTGTGTGCTTAGGGTCATTGTCTTGTTGGAAGGTAAACCTTTGGCCCAGTCTGAGGTCCTGAGCACTCTGGAGAAGGTTTTCGTCCAGGATATCCCTGTACTTGGCCGCATTCATCTTTCCCTCGATTGCAACCAGTCGTCCTGTCCCTGCAGCTGAAAAACACCCCCACAGCATGATGCTGCCACCACCATGCTTCACTGTTGGGACTGTATTGGACAGGTGATGAGCAGTGCCTGGTTTTCTCCACACATACCGCTTAGAATTAAGGCCAAAAAGTTCTATCTTGGTCTCATCAGACCAGAGAATCTTATTTCTCACCATCTTGGAGTCCTTCGGGTGTTTTTTAGCAAACTCCATGCGGGTTTTCATGTGTCTTGCACTGAGGAGAGGCTTCCGTCGGGCCACTCTGCCATAAAGCCCCGACTGGTGGAGGGCTGCAGTGATGGTTGACTTTCTACAACTTTCTCCCATCTCCCGACTGCATCTCTGGAGCTTAGCCACAGTGATCTTTGGGTTCTTCTTTACCTCTCTCACCAAGGCTCTTCTCCCCCGATAGCTCAGTTTGGCCTGACGGCCAGCTCTAGGAAGGGTTCTGGTCGTCCCAAACGTCTTCCATTTAAGGGTTATGGAGGCCACTGTGCTCTTAGGAACCTTAAGTGCAGCAGAAATTTTTTTGTAACCTTGGCCAGATCTGTGTCTTGCCACAATTCTGTCTCTGAGCTCTTCAGGCAGTTCCTTTGACCTCATGATTCTCATTTGCTCTGACATGCACTGTGAGCTGTAAGGTTTTATATAGACAGGTGTGTGGCTTTCCTAATCAAGTCCAATCGGTATAATCAAACACAGCTGGACTCAAATTAAGGTGTAGAACCATCTCAAGGATGATCAGGAGAAATGGACAGCACCTGAGTTAAATATATGAGTGTCACTGCAAAGGGTCTGAATACTTAGGACCATTTGATATTTCAGTTTTTCTTTTTTAATTAATCTGCAAAAATGTCAACAATTCTGTGTTTTTCTGTCAATATGGGGTGCTGTGTGTACATTAATGAGGAAAAAAAATTAACTTAAATGATTTTAGCAAATGGCTGCAATATAACAAAGAGTGAAAAATTTAAGGGGGTCTGAATACTTTCCGTACCCACTGTATATAACAAAACAACTAAAACTGAAACAAAAATTAAAATGAAAACAAAAATATAAAAATAAAAGCTAATTCAGTATATAAACAAATACTACAATAGTATATAAATAGCCTTGTGGGCAACATGCCAACATACAATGCTGTTGCAGTACGGGCGTCCCGAGTTCGAATCCCAACTCGAGGAACTTTTACAAGCCCGCCCCCCCTCTCTCTCCCACTTTGCTTCCTATCGTAATAAAAGGCAAAATTCCAAAAATAAATCTTAAAAAATAAATAAATAAATAATACTAAAACAACACTGGAAAATAATGAAATAATATTCGTTTTTGGATGAACTATCTCTTTAACTGTCACTAGAGCCAGATGAGGCCTGCAGTGGGATGCAGTCAAAATAAATAGGAGGTAATTGGACCCCGGGTCAGACTCTCTCCATAACTCACCTCCTCTGAGCACCAGGACGTTGACCTCGCTGCCCATGGGCTGGTCTTTGAGGATGTCCACCACCTGCGCATGGGTGAGGGTTTGCACGTTCTGCCTGTTAATTTCCTTTATCACGTCCCCCTTCAGCAGACCTCGGCACCACTGCGCATCCAGAATCATCTTCACCTTCTGGCCCAGTGGACAGTCTGCGATGGCAAAGCCGAATCCGCTCGGCCCCTTTACCAAAGGCACGCTGACCAGCTCGGGCTGCAGCAGGGTGGTCTCTCCCGCCTCTGGGTAGCGTCCGTTGGGCATTGCTGCAGCTGGATGTCTGCCATCGGTGGTCATGTAATGGAGGTCCTGCACAGAGGGCGTCCTGTCTGAATGAATGGGCTGCCCGTCCATTCCCGGCATAGCAGTTATGTCGCCCGTGCCCTCTTCGCTGGAGTTGGTGTCCTCTGGCAGCGGGTATCCACGGCACAGGACCATATCCACATACTGATTCACAGGAATGGACTGGAACATCTGGACCACATCTGCATGGGTCTTACCCAGCACACATGTACCATTTATGTCCACTATAACATCACCTAAACGACAGACAAAGAATAAGTATGAATGAAGTAGCTGTTCCAAACCCTACCTAGACAGCATGTTTAGGAAAAGTTATGATGCCTTGCAAAATATCTTGTTTTGGCCATCATCACATGATGTGCCCAATTAAAAAATTACATTTATTTGGTACTGACAAATTGTTCAATCTGATTAAAGTCCACTACTTACTTCAATATTTGTATGTAATATACATTGTGTTATAACTTTAGATATAATGGAAGCATTTTAACATTAGATTCAATGGTAATCATTAGTCAGGTTTCTTATGCGCACTCAGCCTGTTTCAAACAGTTGGATACCTTGTTATGGCCAAAATGGCCAAAGGCACCGTTGAATTTATCCTTCACACATAAGGCATTCCCAGAATGCAATGTGACAAGCTCAGTGAAAATTACATTTATTCAGTACTAAAATGTTCTAAATAAAAAGCAAGTGCTTTGCATTTTTTGTTGTTATTTTACTATTATTCATATACTATTGGAGTATTTGTTAATATTTAAAATAACTTTTTATCTCATACTTTCAGTTTTCATTAGAATTTATATCAGTTTTAGTAATTTTAGCATTTAACTTGCTTATGTTTTAGTTTGTTGCTACAGGCAAACTTTTTTGTTTTAAAGTTTTAAATGATCTATTATTTTAGTTCTTATGTTAATAATTTAATTTAATTCAAATTTTATTTTATTTAAATTAATGAAAATGATTTTTAATAGTTTGGTGTCACAACAACAACACTGTTTTTGCCCTTAATAGAATATTCATTTTTGGCATTTGAAGCGTTTTCTACGGTATGCATTCCTGATGCAACGGCTGTTTCAAACAGTAAAATAGCTATTTCTGGACAAAATATAAGGCAAAATTGTATGTATTTCCATAATACATTTCCATAATACATTTGCGTTAACTATATTTTTTCCAGTACTGAAAAGGATCAACAAAAAAAGTTTATAGTTCTAATTAAAACACAATTACATCCGATATCTGTGTGTTATGCTATTTGTTTTAGTTCAGCAACATTTGAATCATGCATTTTTGAAGACTGCTGTTTGTGTGGGATGTGAGTGACCATTGTAATTGCTGTCTATATAAAGCCTTTTTAAATCAGTCTCTAATAAGATTCAATTTTAGTAAGCATAGTGTCTTTGAAGCTATCTGACTGTGTATAAAGACAATAGGCAGCAAGGCAAACTCACTCGGATCTGGAACATGGCTACTGTGTTAATTTGAGCGCAGATACAAATCCTGCCAATGTGTTTAAACTGTTCATTTTGATTCCAGCAACGAGAGCTGTCTTGGCTCCTTCTGTTCTGTTCATGAGGGAGTGTGTATGAGTATGATATGCAGTGATAAAGAGGCAGTGCCCACGCAACCATTACTCCAGCTAAAGTCAATGATCCGCTCAGTTGTTGCAGTCTATCTAATGGGAAGTGTGTCTATTGATCAATGCAGAGGACTTTGGGGGATTCCTGCATCCTTTTCCACTCCTGACCAATCAATGGCATCCTTCCAGGTTTGCGTCACTTCTTGAAAGTCACTGTTCTGCCCAAGACATCCTGCTGCTAATACAGTAATATTGGCATGGAGCACACAACCTGTCAAAGCGCTGCGAGCATCAATGTTTCATTCAGATGATCAAGTAATTGGGCCAGGTCTACTGCTAGCCATGAGGTTTGAGTATGAGTTTAGATATTCTGTTAACAAAACAAGTAAAATACTTCTCACTGACCTCCAGATAAATATAGTGCACATAAAAACGACAAGCACTGACTGAAATCATCAGTTCCAATTTGTTTGCCTGACTTTAGTCTAAGGTCAGTAAGACTTTTTTTTTGGAAAGAAATAAATACTTTTAATCAGCAAGGATGCATTAAATTAATCAAAAGTGACAGTAAAGACATTTATAATATCACAAAAAGATTTCCATTTCAGGCAAATGCTGTTCTTCTGAATTGTCTATTATTCAAAGAAATAAACATATCTCAGTTTCCACAAAAATATTAAACAGCTAAAATGTTTTCAAAATTGATAATAATCAGAAATGTTTTTGAGCAGCAGAAGGATTTCTGAAGGATCACGTGACGCTTAAGACTGGAGTAATGGCTGCTGAAATTTCAGCTTTGCTATCACAGAAATAAATGAAATTTTAAAATATATTCAAATATAAAGCACTTATTTGAAATTCTAATAATATTTCACAATACTGTTTTTATTTTATTTATGATCAAACAAATGCAGCTTATCTGAATTTTGCCCATGACAATCTATTATTGTCATTTCAACTTCTTCAATTAATCCCGCCCCCCATAAAAATTAAACAAACTGCTGTTGGCTGCTTTCCATGTCAATCAGATAGTCTCTTCCTATCCAAGTGAGCTATTCTTGGCCAGAATAATCATAAATGAGGATCAAATTTTATGCTGCAACAAGTCAAAAGTCTGACGATTCAAGACAAATACCAAATGAACAAAAGCAAATACTGAGAATCAACAATTATGATTAATGCTTTGCCAGGTCAAAAAGAGGCTCATAAACAGCCCTCTATGGCTTTTTTCATAGCTTGTTGACCAAACATAAGAATTTGCATAAAGAAATAGGATGCAGATGAATGTACCCTTCAGCATGCCTCTGAAGTATGTTTATTGCGCCGCACTCGAATCCAGAATTAAATGTATATCTCGGTTAAACTGTTTTACAATTCTACGTACAGACTGATGTCTCCAGGGAGCTGAAGTATACAGGCAGTTGTTTCTTCACATTGTAATGGAGGGTAGTGAGTGTTAGTGTAAGCGCTGCAATTATCACCAAACACAACTCTGCAGGAAAGCCAGCTCCCCTGATGCTCACCCACTGATTCTGATTTATTTTATCGCTATCTACGCGATCCCGCTGTGGGCACTTTCACAGGATTATTTACTTGGAATCTAGTAACCCGGCAATGCTCCAAGAAATGGATGTGGCATCCAGCAATGCGCCACATATGGTACCATTCGAGACTGCAGCGATAAACACCAATGATCCAGGGTGCTAGTGTGCATAACGATACTTGGATCAAATGAATTACCTGATGGCCTATCAACATTCATAAAATAAGCAACAAGTTGCCTCAGAACTTAATGAACATAAGCCGAGTGGATTTACCCGAAGCGATTTTGTTATCGTGTGCAGCGGGTCCATCTCTCAGGACGTTCTTCACTTGAAGGAATTCATCTGGTCGGTCTCCACCGATGATGGTGAAACCAAAGCCCTGAGGGCTCTTCTTCAAAGTTGTGCGCAAGATAGCACCCTGCAGCTGAGATGGGTCTCGTGTGAATCCCCTTAAACCAGTTTCATCTAAAAGAGGAAAGATAGAGAGTGTATGTGAGACTAACAATTTAAAGCTTGTTTACAAAGCAAGACAAAGAGTATGTACTTCTAAATGAGCTGTTTGTATAGAAATCTCTACAGTTTGTCAAAATGAGCGAAGTTCCCTTTTAAAGTCAGCATGAAACAGAAGTGATAGTCTTTTCTTCCCTACTGTGACATATATGCAGTGAAATGAGGAAAAAGTAGGGCGGGACTTAATTCGGTCCATGGGGAATTGATTGGATTGTTGTCGTTTGCTAGCGCTGGATGGGATGTCCTGTCCTCACGCAGATAAATATGCCATTAGAGAAGAGATTTAATTGCAAGGGAATAGGTGCAGTTACTTTGATTAAAGATTACGAGGACATATGAATTAAAAAAAATAATGATGTGCACGGATAAATTATTTATGCTAAACACTACTACATTCCATAAAAAAGCAAGAATTTTACTTTAATCTGAACTGTTCCTGCAGTGCTTCTTACTGTACTACTGAAACAATCACAAAACAGGCTGTGAAAGAAACCGAGTATAGCGGCACAGAGAGAACTAGAGGAAAAGAGGGAGGTCTGGACTCCATTAGTCATTCGCATTGAATAATGCAACAGAGAGAGCAATAAAGAGAGTAAAAGATACCTCACTAAATGAGTGAATGATAGTGGGATTGTTCTGTATATATCCACATACACTTGAATTAATTATCGCAGTCCATCCATTAGACTCTTCCTCAATTACTCCTAAACCATTTACCCTCACAGCAGCACATTCATAAGAGTGTTCTGGTTAGGAACTCCTAATTAATAACCACTAAGAAAACGCTCAAGCAACATTTGGCGATGTTTTCATCTGATAAAATGTCCTCGGATGGGCTGATAATCATCCCTTTTTTTTCTTAAACCAATTTGTGGGGAGCACATGCAAATTTGTCGAATGTATAAATGATGTTGCCATGGTGACCCCTCCAAGATGAACTACTATAAATAAACTTTAAACACTGACATAAACATGATTTTTTAAGAATGCTACAAAACGACATTTTTATGACTGATATCATCATGCAGTGTATTAAATTATATTACTTTACTGCTTATTCTTGGAAGGTCATTTTATCATGTCAACAATCACAGACATTTTATAAGGAGATCTGAGTTTATACTTTTAATGTAAATAATAAAATGTATTTTTCCATGTACAAAGTGAGATATACATTACCATTCAAATGTTTGTCAATACGATTTTTTTTTGTAAAGTGTTTTATGCTCACTAAGGCGTATTTTGTTTAAAAAATACAGTAAAATAGTAATATTCTGAAATATTGTTAAAATTTAAATTTATTATTTCCTATGTGAATATATTTTAAAATAGAATTTATTCCTGTGATGTCAAAGCTGAATTTTTAGCATTCATTACTCCAGTCTTTAGTGTCACATGAGCCTTCAGAAATCATTCAAATATGCTGATCTGCTGCTCAAGAAACATTTCTTATTGTTATTATCAATGTTGAAAACAATTGGAACAGTGGAACAGAAAGTTGCTAAACAGAAGTTCAAAAGAACAGCATTTATTTGAAAACTGTCACTTTTGATTAATTTAATGCATCATTGCTTTATAAAAATATTAATCTCTTTCAAAGCAAAAACCTTACTGACCCCAAACTTTTGAATGGTAGTTTATAAAACAATAACTAACAAAAACCATTAAAATTACACACAATATTTTTAGATATCATTCTATACTTAACCAATGATAATGCTTTCCAATTCTTGAGAGGAATATTGCACATTTCCAAATTCCATTCTACAATTACAGGATATTACAAAAACCCCTGGAGGACTGTGGAAATGATGTGTAGAAAGTATCCATTAAATAAAAGAGCCAGTTTCATGCTGCTCAACAAGTTTTGTGAAGCATAACAGCACTGAGCACTTACATCAGATAATCACACAAAGTTATGAAACAATAAAGACTGCAAGTAGCACTTTACAGTTTCACCTGTTGGATGAATAATAATAAAGCGAAGAGGAGGGCTGCATTTTCAGTCTTTCTAAACTCTGCATAAGCTAAGTGTATTTTAATTTTTACAAATGGTTTGAGGTTCTGAATATACACTTCTTCCAGGTTTCTTCCTTAATTCTAAAATAATAAGAATGAGTAAATAAATAATTTACTCACCTTTATGTAATTCCGAATGATTTTTGGGTGAACTAGCCCTTTAAGAGGAAGGTGTTCAACACTGACTCTGAATCAGCTCTAAAAGGCAGATCGTATGGATATCTCACATGTGGTGGGAATTGGATTTGCATAACAGCCACATTGATGAGTTGAACTGGCCCTATGAAACGGATTATGTTGATTGTAATAACCATGGCACACATTTGAACTGTGAGCCACAAGTGCGTGTGAATTGGTTGTTGGACACAGGTACAAACCCATTCTTGCATATTATTAGATTTATCCCTCCTGTACTGCTGTTTTCACATTCAGCTGGTGTGGAAATTCTGGGAAAAGTGGGAAAGTTGATGTTTATGTTTACCTTATTATGCATCTTATGCATAAAGGGCCACTGTTTCTCTCATAGGGCGAGCAGATAATGAAATGTCGGAGTTTAATTAAAGGTGTAGTATGAGTGCTGTATACATACATATATGTGTGTGTGTGTGTGTAGAAAATGACCTAAATACACAAGCAACAAGAGCTAAAATTGTTTTATAATTGCTTGAGTACATGAATAAAACAAATAAAATGCATGAATTTTGTCATTACTATCATAATTGTTGGTAGAAATGTATAGTTATGGTTATAATTTCTGATTATTCTCTGAAAACACTGCATTATATTTTTGTGCACTCGTCCCTGTCCTGTTCTCAGCTAGGCATCACCATCCACTCATTAAAGTGTCTTGGCCAGCTAACAGAGCATAGCGTGGAGGGGGCTGCGTGCGCTTTCACTAATGAGACAGAACAGACGTCCACTGCCAGCCTTCCAGAGGGGATAGGAGGACAAAATCAACGCTCAGAGGACAGAGGAACGCACAGGAGACAGTGACGCTCAGTGGGCCAAACAACAAACAGCCTGGTGTAACCTTGAACAACCTAAAACCGAACTCAGTCATGTGTTGGCCGGCCAAACTCTATCATTCAATGCAATCACTCAACAGGATAGAATTGCTGGATATTGGGCCAGGCAGTGGAAGATAAAGCAGCATCAATCACTAATGGCTACTAATAAAGACACTCAAAATATGAAATTACAAATTTGGACAACCAGAATCATTAGGAAGAAACCTCATCCATTAAATGATGATAATAAAATAATATATATAATAAAATTATTTAATAAAATTATCTATATATCTATCCATCCATCTATAGGACAGTCAGCATGCAGATTGGGACAAAACAAGTATATGTACACCAGGTGTAAACTCGTGCTTTGAAACCTGAGACGTAAGCAAACACCTATTGAAAACAAGAAAAAAGCTCAGAGAAAAAGAGCAAATGAAAGAGACAGAGCTACTGCTTAGTGTCACATTAGAAGACAGAACAAGGATGTGTAATGTTAAGTCAATAGTGAAACACCAGCTACAAAGTGGAATGCGTGCATAAATATACCAAAGCTGGCGCAGGTGAGTGTAACTGAACAAGTACACGGTCACACATAAATACACACACAGATGGTAAAACACACACGCTAGCTGACAGAATTGCTGCATATGATGAAAGGAGCTCTGAGCCTCTGGGATTATCAGAGATCATATTAACCACAGATGTTGATTATGTTCTTCTGATGGAAACGATCTGCCTCTGCTTAAACTAACACCTGAGCAGCTCATGCATCTCTTATTTTATAAACTCAGTTCTCACTTAAACCATGTCTGAACCAGGTGTGGCGTGATAAAGCATCAAGAAATAAATCATATCTGTTCCATGCTAATCTGAGTTTTTGTCTCAACAAATCAGGACCTGGCAAGATATACTGAAGTTTGTTTGGTTTCAATGACTGGCTCTGCATCGCTGAAATCACACTGGTGCAAAATCATGTTGTTCCTTCACTTTTTGAGTGAGGACAGAATAACTATGTGACAATGCAATTGAAAACAGTGGCTCTTGTTACTTCCTGATCTCTGTGGCAATTATCACTTCTTGATCTCATTCTCACTGAATTGTTTCCTATCACCATTGCTGAAAAAAAAATCAGCCTTAGGTGTTTAGGTTGGACTGTTTTGATGGTTTTAATGGGGTTGTCTGATATATGATTTGGTCAGGCAACTGAAAACCTAAAGACCTTTTTGAAAATGCATCAAATTTATCAAAAATGACAGTACATTTACACTGTTACAAACAAAGAAATCGATTTCAAACAAAAGCTGTTCCTATTCATCCGAAAATCCTAATATATATATATATATATATATATATACATACACATAAGGTTTCACAAAAATATTAAGCAACACACTGTTTTCTTCAGACGGATCATGTGACACTGAAGAGTAATGGCTGCAGATCACAGGAATACAATTTTAAAATGCTTTAGAATAGATTAAAGTGGTAAAAAAGAAATAAAAACTGAGATAGTAGGAAATGGGGAATAAAGCAGAAAAAATGTAGAGATTTACTTAAGGGCGTTGGTACTGCTCCTGCGGCCGCTGCTATTGGCTGACTGGTTGGAGACGCGTCCTGGCTGAGTTTCTTCTTGGCTTCCTGCACTGGATTCTCAAACTGAGTCTTCTGGCTGATGTGGCTGAAGGAAAGAGTGAGACAGTCAGTGCAAAAGACCGGAGAGGGCAGATACAATGACACACACGCTTGCACAAACTTTAGCGATGCCTATCTGTCTATGCAAACATAGTCTTTGTAAAGGACAAAACCGTATCAGAGCCAAAAGGTAAGGAACTGTGCGCATGCGTCTCTTCCTATTTGTTGTCTACTAACCAGGCAGTCACTTTTTCCTTTACCACAGACATTTGGTAAATGAACAGAAAAATAAACAACATACTGAGACAGAAACTTGTAAAAATGACATGAACTGGTTTGACTCAGGAAGAACGCAACCCTTTCAACTACACAACTTTGAGAAGACTAGATCAAAGACTTTAACTGAACACTGGAAAAGTATTTTAAAAGTATGTTGCTTTGTTTCTTCTCGATAGGTGAGTAACACGTGTCTGCGCCGCAACAGCTAAAGTCTGTCTACACTGGACGCGATAAAGCGACCGTTGAAAATCATTTGAAATTTGTGTCAATACGTCATGAATAGAATGCAGTAGCAGTTTTCTGTCGGGGATTTGTCGTGTCGCGCCACATTCAGTGTAGACAGCTTCACTGATTATAATGAGTTCTATAATATTTTGTCACGCCGTTCGCGTCTGGTGTAGACACGGTGTAACATTGGTTTTGCTTTGTTTCACAGTACTAATCGTTGCCTGGGTTGCGCAAGTATGTGTGGGGCGGAGCTATCAAAATAGGGGCGAGACCCTTTTGGGGTAGGGGTGTGTTTGTTTTGGTGATCTGAAATATCAACATTGGCTACCAGAAATCACTTACCCCACCTTTAATATAAAACATCCTTAGAATAAGATAAACTATTCCAAAAAAGCGAAAAGGTTTAAGATATCAATAAGATCAATATAAATTTCAGAGATTTCAGAGAGTATTTCTTAAAGGGTTAGTTCACCCAAAAATCAAAATTCTGTCACGTGTGTCACATTCTATACCGTTCCACCTGGAAACAAAGATGCCGTGACGCCAAACCCCCTCACGAAAGAAGAAAGCCGTCGTGTTTACAACCGTGACGACGAGCGCTTACCAGGATCAACTAAACGCTGGATTTTCAAAAGTATGTGAAATATTTAAAGTTCGCGGCACAGAATCTTTAAAATACGTCCGAGAGTTTTACACACCGGTCCGTTATTGTGGCGACATTTCCACGCCCTGAAACGTTACATGACGCTGAAATGAAACGAACTGTGATTGGTTGTTTGACATGTCGATCAAACGGCCTTATGGGCGGGCCTTGGCCAGTGAAATCTGCCATGGATTCCAGACCTTCAGCCGTCAGTCTGAAGGTCTGGCTACGCGAGACTAGTGTGCCCTAAATGACATCAGAGAAAATAAAAGCCGTTACAGAAGAAGCTACTACATTTTGATTACGAAGACAAATTATTAAGACAGACATTTTTTCTTTTGTAAAAACCATGCAGAGATTAATAGTTTGCAATAAAACTAGGAGAGTACATTAAGAAAGTCAATAGTGTCAATTTCATGCTGACTTTAGAATTGCTCTTGTTTAATAAGGATGTTTCTTCTGGCAAATAAGACAAAAACCTTGATAAATATTTTTTTGTTGTTATTGCACTGAATCTTTTCATGACCTTCTGAAATGATCAAATAGCACCGCAAAAACACACTTGATTACAAGTGCCACAGAACAGGCATATTTCAAACCCATCTGTAATTGCTGCACGCATGCACTCTCCTCTACAACCAGCACATTTGTTTTCTTGTTTGCTAGCTGCCGAAATGAATCAATATTACCTTGGCAAGCCTTTCCAGAGACACAAGCTTCACAGCACATGCGTTTCCTCTGTAGAGGTTCAGGCTCAGTGCTGGAGTGTGTTGTTTTATCCCTCCCACCCTACAGGTTCACATAAAGTGAAAAAAGCAGCTCGTCTGCATTGTGTTACTTGGCTTTAACTGTTGTACCTGCCGGTCGTGACTGTACCTCAGGAAGGTTTTTAACCGCCACGGATCCCTCACAAAGTAAGGTACTTTTTGTGCTTTTGTTGTGGGTGACTCATGCTGAGACTTATCCACCCAATCCACAGAGAACGAGAGACTGAGTGCTCTCATCTGACTGCTGAAGTTCCCCGTTTTGATAATTCAGGCAGAGAATAATGAGGCACTGTGCCAAGCCATATTTAAATAAAAAATAAAACAATGTTTTGTTGACTTCCTTGCATAAATATCCTGGCACAGCGGGGATTGACCTTACACAAAATAAATGCCATTAAAATCAAATCCTGTATCCGCTTCCGAAAGCCCTCGAGTCAGCTGTCCTGTCAACAACTTCAATATCCCACAATGCTTTGAGAGCAGAAAATTAGCAAATCCAGCCAATATGATGATCAATAGGTCACACTGATCAGTCTTCTATATCAGAAAAATATTAATAAACTATATATTTTTAAGATAATCAGGTGTTCAGAAATGAGACATTTTGTGCATTTTTTTAAAAATTGCATATTATTATTAAATCTTACTAAAACAGCAATGTGAGTGAATTTAAAATAAAAAATTATTTCAAAACTTCACTTCATTATATTGTCATTCATTATAGATTGTTATATATAACATTTATAATATATTATATATATACTGTAGTATTTATATCATTACTGTTTAATTACAATAATATAATATAATATATAGAATTTTAATTCAACTACATTTTTAAATTAGGTGAACAAATATCACATACCTTTTTCCTAATTTTTTATTTATTATTTTATTCTCTTATAAGCATAGTAGTGTGAGTGAAATTAGATGAATGCAGTCATATTTGGCAAAACTTTGTGTTTATGTCAAGGTTTTTTTTTTTTTTAAATCATAAATATTTTTCATTTTATTAATTTCACAATTTTTTAAAAATTGTTTATTTCCAAGTTAAAAATAACTATTTTGGTGTTTTTTTGGACACAGAGATCCAAGTATTAAAATATTTCAAAAATGATGCTTTATACAGTGACTTGGCATTCTGACATCATTTACATAACAAATCAATCAACTCATATAAAGTTGTATTATTTTCATAACTTAGTAAGTGATTCTTTCATTGAGGAAGAATGCTACACTCCCTTTATGCTTTTATTGTTGTTTTACTCTGAAAAACTGGATTAAAACAAAAACTAAATGGGAATAGACGATAAATTATATGAGCATACTCACTCCACATAATAAGTACCATACTGTGGGTCCTCAATCTTCTCCCAGCCATATGGAAGCTCTGCGGAGAATCAGACAGGCATATCAGAGACAGCTAGAACAGATGCAAATCATCCATGTGCTTGACACCAGGGGGTCTGATTTTCTGACGGTGAATTTCTGAGAAGCCAAACACCAGGTAGGTCAAGAAGTCTGGCTGCATTTACACGCGTGTTTGGGCAGAGAGGAGATCAGAAGGCTGAGCGGCGAGGAAACGCAGGGGGTGCAGGTATTAGTAAGCTGTACGGAAAATGACTTGTTATCTTTCCCTGTGATGTGAGAGGTGTGAGGAGCCACCAGCCTGACACGGACGTACATGCCCATTGCAGAAAGTGGTGCTAGGATAGCTTGTGTGAGATGACACTCTGATGGGCTCTCAGCATGTCTCCTGTGAGCCATTAGTCAGGCGGGCCAGAGAGAGGCAGGCTAATGTCTCACGGCTCAGCTCGGGTCTGTTTACTCTTATGTGTGATTCATGAACCAACTCGCTCTTACCTCCATCCTCGCATCTTTCAGGAGGCTTGGCTTTCTTTGCCAGTCGTGGGTCGAGCCAGGTCGTGGTCTTGCTATTATGGCTACACAGAGAGGGAAAGAAGCATTAGTAAACAAACACCTGAAAGCCTTTCTGAGAATGGACCGTCATTATACTGGAACAGTGTAACACTCATAAAACAACAGAAATATGACTAGAGCTCACTGTAACAATGCAAAAATGACACAATCAGTCAATAAAGCTGCTCAACGATTGCTAAAACCAGATGGCAAGATGTTTTTTTTTTCATATTTTCAAAGCAGTGATTTTCAACCATGTGTACACTTGGCGGTACATGGAAAAAAATATTTGTCAAATGATAAAAATAAATAATCATACTTAAAGATTATAAAAGTGAATCACATTTATGTTCTATTTTTCACCCAATTATAGGTTTTTGATGTGACTTATTAATAATAATTTTTTTTTTCAATAATTCAATAATTAGGGGTCCAAAAATCTGAGACCATTTGTGCATTTTTTTTAATTATAAATTATTATTAGAGCTTATTAGCAGAGCAATGAGAGTGAATTTTAAAGAAACTTTAAATCCAGGTTTTAAATAATGTAAAATATAATGAAGAATGTTATGTATATATATATATATATATATATATATATATATAATATAAAATTATTAAATTAGTATAATTTGAAGAAAAACTTTTAATACTATACTATATTATACTATACTATACTATACTATACATACTATAATATAGATTACAAGGAGGAACACTTGAGCCAAAAAGACTGTGGGGGAAAAAAATGCCACTGATCACATTAAAACATAAGCAAGACTTTTCAAAAACCACTTTAGTTTTCTCTGCTGGGTAGGGGAGAGGACTGTACTCCAAAAGCAAATGTGTTTAAAATCTGAAATATTCATGAAAAGGTGCAGCTCGTCCTCCGAGACTCATGCAGGCAGACATGTGTGTGGAAGCAAGGCCCGCTGGGAAGGCTCCATTTAGCCGATTGTTTGCATTGTTCAGAGAATAAAGTATTGACTCGCTGGCTCTCTCTTCCTCTGTGTGGACAGCAGAGATGCTTGGTTAAGAGCTGCGACCACAGGCACAGGTAATGGACACTGAAAGGAAGAGGCTGGCAAAACTGTAAGCTAGCCTCAGCGTCAGCATGCAAGAGAAGAGCCGTTTCAATTCCCAGTGGTCACTCGAGCTTGATGTGTCTGCAGGAGTACCGGAGTTCCTGTTTACTGAGCGAGCCTTTAGCTGGAGAGCTGCTGTCTACATCTGGGCTCGGTTACAGTAAATCATAGGAGAAATTTGAAAAGATGGAGCCACAAATTGTTTTTTGTTATACAGCACAACTTCTGCATGGTCCATAAACTTCCCTTCTATACAGTATACTAAAAGTGATAGTATTCACGAATACACAGTATACATGAAAACAGTAGGTGAAAAAAACCTGGATGACATTCTGCTACCGTCAAGAATCAGTTGTGTGTATCCATCGGACACTTTACTGTCTCATGATGCGGCTGACAATGCTAACATGGCAGATGTAGTGGGATCAGACTGTATTCAACCTACACATCTGTATGCTTATAGAACTATAGAATTTAAGAACATACTTGCAGAAGTTTGAGGTTGGTAAAATATATTTTTTTAATGTTTGAAAAGTTCTTATGGTCACCAAGGCAGCATTTATTTGATTAAAAATACACCAATTTTTTGAAATATTATTACAATTTAAGATAAATGTTTTCTATTTTAATATATTTTAAAATATAATTTATTCCTGTGATGCAAAGCTGAATTTTCAAAAGCTGAATTCATCATTACTCCAGTCTTCACTGTCACATGATCCTTCAGAAATCATTCTAATATGCTGATTTGACGCTTGCTCAAGAAATATTTCTGAACATTTCTTGTATTGTGCTGGTAAATATTATTGTGGAAACCGTGCTACTTTTTTCAGTTATTTTTATGAACAGACAGTTGAAAACAACTGCATTTATGTAAACGTTTAAATTGAAGTACATATTACTGGATTAATGTTTTATCACTCAAAAAAAAGCGAATCAAATTGCAAATCTGCAAATTGCACTTACATCAAAAATCATCTTCCATTCAGTGGCCCATTTCTAAATTACATGTGTTTATAAATTTCTCCACATTTAGCTGCCCAGATAAGAAGAGCATTATTTAATCTGCACTGCATTCAAGGGGCACAAAAGAACAGATTTGGCTTATTTCTGCTTATTTATAATTTGAAGATGTAAAATTAAATAACTGAAAAAAAGTGCTATTTAAAACATTAAAATAAATAAATAAACATTTAAACACATGCAACTAACCAATTTCTGGAACAACATTTCTGTCAAATAAACATAGTCCAAATGCCAATCCCTAAAATCTGATAGGCTGACAGGACCGTAGATCCAAGCAAATGTCCTACTTGGCAATAAGGACTTACTCTATAAAGTAGACCATGCCCGACTCCGTATAGGCCATCTCCCAGTTCTTGGGCAGAGGCTCCTGGCTCTCGTCACGTGGCAGCGTGTTCCAGTTGCGGAAGTCCATGCTGCTGCTGGACTGTGTGTAGCTGGGCACAGCTTTCCTCCACTCCGGTCCCTCCTTGTGTTCTGTGAGTGGAAAGAGCAAAAAACCAGTGAGACTTTGAGAAAGAGGTGGGGAGAACACACAGGAATGGGGAGTAATACATACTTTAACTCTCTCTAGCACTGAGGAACAAACTTTCCAACCTTCTCAAGAGACGGAGAAAAACAGAGAGAGAGAGAAACAGAGAGAGAAAGGAGGCAGGCAACACGAGCCACTGGATTTGCATGCCAGTACTGATGTTCAGAGAGCCGCCTCTCGGGCAGGGCCAGAGCCGGACAACGCTTCCGTGAAGCTGATATGCGTCACATACACAAATGAGCACGTGAGCGAGACAGACAGTCTGGTTGCGCATCAGAACACATGCAGAGATAGTATATGAGGGTGAAAATGAAACACTCAAATGTTCCATCCTTCAGTTTAAAGAGCCAATTGTCTTTCTGTTTACTCTAGAGCGCACGTGTTCCTGTAGCTCCTGTGCTACTGTAGTCACGGGGTTGATTCCCAGGAAACATCACATAATGACAAAATGAATAGGCTATCTAAAATTTGTATATGTCTACATAAATATAATTTTATATCTAAACCACCGTTCAAAAGTTTAGGGTTAGTAAAATATTTTTTGATAGTATTTAATACTTTTATTCAGCAAGGATGTATTACATTGATCAAAAATACATTTATTAATTGAAAAAAAAAAATATATATATATATATATAATTTTTCCCAAATTTTTTTTTGTCCAGAATCTTACCAACCACCAAACTTTTGAATAGTAATGTACATATATTTTACATATATATATGGATGGATGGATGTGTTTATGTCTGTTTCTGGATATACTGGTTGTACAGAACATGTAAACAGGAGGTGAGATAATGGAAAAAGTATATGTTGTCATTAAACGGCTTGATATGCTTTTGCTGACGTAGTCATGATTGAAGCCCGTTCATTGGAATGATTCAAGCCTGCCGCTGGGACGCCAGCATGTGTGGCAGATGAATCAGCACTTGTTGTTCCTTTGCTGTAACCATGACGGCACCATTCATGACACAGGCAGAAACATAAGCTCCACCATTCAAAAGCAAATATCATAAGAAACTTGTGGCCGAATGAAGAAAGAAGCTGAACCTGATGATAAACAGAAGGGAGAATGTGGTACTTGAGTGTTCACAGGAAATAGCGTAACGGGAACAGATGAACACAATGTGCTGCAGATTGAGTGTTGAAAGTAGGAAGAGATGTTGTGCTATGGTGAAACCTATGGTGAAGGTTTGCTTCCACACGCGGCTATGGAAAAACAGCCATTCAGCCCTTACAATTGAGCTTTTCCACACAGTTATTTTAGTGAGAGACTATAAAGAGTGTACATTAAATAATCTGAGGCCATATCTATCACAACTGGTCTTAAGCATGTAAACGCAAACATTATAACCTCACTGCAAAGGCAAGACTAGCCATTTTAGTAATGCGAATTTAATCAATAAAAAACCCACAAACACACTTCTGGGTTGCAAAATCGTCTCAGTTTGCACTTGGCAAATTCAGTTAGATACTGTTGCCATTTGCATCTTGTCCTTACAGTTGTGCCAGAGGGTTTACAAAGCTCTATCCAATCATAATGGAGGACAGCTGTGAGGCATCTTGTCCAACTAGAGATGAACACGGCCAACAAAGCCTCCCACAGTGCATCCAGAAACCTCTTTTGGCCCTAGTGGTGAAAAAATGGGGATTTCCTCCAGTCAGCCTTAAAAACAGCTCATGTTTATTGAGGTTACATAGAGCTAGAATTTAAAACTTAAAGCCCAAATAAACTCTTTTCACATTATTAATTCTAAGTAAAAGCCAGTCTGGAGAAAACTTGTTTAAACGCTATCTATTCTGAAAGGGGGGTATAGCAAAAGGAAGCCAGATATTGTGGTATAGGATATCAGTTCTCATGGTGATCAATCATACTAACACAAACTGAACAGTAGTGGAAACTGCAGTGGGTTAATGTGCTGTGAATATAATCTTTTTTTTGGCAGTCTCTTCCTCAAGCTCACTATCACTGCATGTGAATAATCTGAAGGTGTTCACTGTTCTGTATCCCATTGATTTATGGGAAAGAAAACTTGCTGTGCAGGGAGCATCAGTAAATCCTACCTACTTTCGGCACGATGCAGTTGAACCCCGACCGAGCTCCCCAGAAGTCTTCCCAAAAACCCAAACTCAAGAAAAAATACTGTTCCATGAAGTGGGTTAAAATCAAGAGATAGAAATCTAAAAAAAGGTGTGCATTTTTAAAATGGATCTTATTTATTGCAGCTATTTCTCAGGCAATATTGTGGATTTTCAGTATGCTGGAGTGATATGAGGGCTGGGCTATGCATGGCCGCTCTCCGTTCCAATGAAATCACAGAATTAAATTCAAAATGTATATATTTATACACGCACACATTACAGTTGAAAAGTTTTGTTTTGGGCTGGTAAGATTTTTTAATGTTTTTGAAAGAAGTCTCTTATTCTCACCAAGGATGTATTTATTTAATTAAAATACATCCTTTTATGATTATTATTTAATAGATTTTAATTTATTTAAATGTATTTATTAATTCTAATAGCAAAGTTGCCTTTTCAGGAGTCATTACTCCAGTCTTCAGTGTCACATGATCCATCAGAAATCATTCTAATATGCTGATTTGGTGCTTAAGAAACATTTCTTAATATATCATAGTTGAAAACAGTTGTGTTGCTTAAACTTTTTGTGAAAGTACTTTTTTCAGGATCCTCTGATGAATAGAAAGTTAAAAATAACAGCATTTGTTTGAAAAATATTTTTTGTAACAAAGTACCGTATAAGTCTTTACTGTCACTTTTAATAAATTCAATGCATCTTTGAAGAATGGAAATATTATTATTTTTTTTTTATCTGTCCCCAAACTCTGAACAGTAGATCACCTCAACTTAACCTAGTGTATCATGTCAGTTTAACCAAAAGTGGATGGATGTGTCTCCTGGCAATCAAACCCATGACTTTAGTACTTTAATTGTCATGCTCTACCATTAAGTTACACTTAAGAAACACTAGTAGAGCTTAAAAAATTAAAATAAATCTATACACCTACAGCGACATCAGCCCAGCCCTAGGTGGGTGGTGGCAGGAGTGTACATTAGGATGGCAGTGGGTTGGCTCAAATGTAGTCATTAATGTAGAACCAAAATGACTGTAAAAGACTAATAATAAGCCTGAGGGAACTTTTTAATGAGAAGGTAGAAGACAGAGTGCAGGGGCTGGTACACAACAGTCAGATATAGGTAGCGGCACAGCAGTTACTCTGTGGTGTGCAGAGACACTTTTATGCCTCACAGCAAACAGCAGTCTCTTTAACATGCTCATTACTTGAAGTGATACCAGCCATAAGCTCATTCATTCTGAGCTCAATATGGTCTATTTATGCCACTGGATAATCACTGAAAAAACTCTGACTGACTGTGCTTTTGGCCTACTTTAAAAGCTCAACTACTGCTCAAGTTTCTGAAACAGCTTAGACAGTCTATGACTCCTGCAGCTCTTCAGTGGTTAGACTCAAAAACATGGATAACATCAAAATTACATTCTGGAGTAAATAAAGGTAAAAATAATGATGTAAAAATGTAAAAATGAACAAGAATGTGTCAAAAATTTAGTCGATACATTAAATACACTGTACTGAAATACACATCACAGTAATGGTTCTTTGTTCATAAGTCTGAATCAAAGAGAACAGAACAGAAGAATGACTCTCGATTCAGTGAGGGAATCATCTGTAAACTCAATAACCCCTTTGAACGATTCTGAGGTCAGATTCAAATTGCTAAAGTTCTTGAGCTTGAGTTTTGTGGGTCTTTCTATCTGATTTATCAAAAAGAATTGATTCATTACTTGCAAATCAGACATCCCCGCTCATGCTGTGGTTGAATAATGAATAAAATACAGTTGGCCACAACATACCCATTATTACAGATCAAGTAGACCGATAACCGATATTTTGAACCGATACTTATATATCTGGTGTAAAAAAGAAAATGAATGTCAAAATTAAGAAGAACAAGGGCTCTGACAAAAACTTTCTTTAAATGCTTTTAAATTATTTTATCGGCAAATCGGTTTTGAAAACGACCAATACCCATAACCATAGAAATGCTTAATATCGGTGCCGATAATCGGCCACTGCACTGTACTGAACCTAAGGTACATTTTACAGTTCTCAGAACAGTTCTCTGTTCATAAATTTGAACCAAAGAATGACTTACAGTTGCATGATGGAGTCGTATTTAAACTCAACAACCCCTCAGAGTGATTCACTTTGAGTCTGATTCAAATGGGTACACTTCTTGAGTTTGTGAATCTTACTGACTGATTCATTAATAAGAACCATCAGTTTATAAGAGTCATTGTTTTGCAATTCAGACGCCACCACACGTGCTTTGCTTGTTTTTGCACATGGCAAGTATAACAGAATAGACAGATGTTAAATAACTGTGCAATTAATAAAAACACAATTAACTAACACCAAATCACAATATGAAATTAAGACAAAAATTACTTATGGATCCACACAAGGTCACCAATCACAATTAGATTTTAAATTGCTGTCAATTTTTGTGGACATCAGCTCCATGAAACCATTACAATATAGCTTATTAAGGGCAAGCTTTACTGACCAGCTGGTCCTGGCGCAATCAGCAGAGGGTAACTGACTTCCTGCGTGACAGGAAGCAGCATGTGTGGAAAGCAATACACTAGTTGCACCATCCTTAAGCACCACGGGGCTCTACAGTACTATACCTTCTTTATACAACTGACTGCACATCCAAGGACCCCTCTTGTAAAGCTCTTCATATTGCTCTCACAGGGAACACAATCAAATCTGCCCATAACAACTTAAGCTCTATTGACAGCATCTGTGCTCTCCTGTCAATTATCACAGAAAGTAAAGTCGCTCAGCTTGCAAAAATGCAACTTACAACGTACACTTACAATGAAAGCCTAGCAGGCAAGCAGCCAATACAGTGAATCACACGGTTGGAGAAACTTTGAAACTAACACACCAAACTATAAGCTAGTCATAATTTTAAGTATTTAAACCACACTTAAAATATTCTTTTGGAAAAAGTAGTTCGCTACACATATAAAAATACATAAAATCTTAATACATAAATATACTAATAGATAAACTTTGTATATTTTTTAATATATAAATATTTAAAATATTAAATATATAAATATTCATATAAAAATACATATAAAAATAAACAAAAACTAGTATCATGCTTCAGAACAATATAGTAGTTTAGCTAACAGTAATTCGCTAAACGGTAATTAGTGTCTTTGCAAATTTATATCTAATCTTTTATCTTTGCTGAGTTGCATTTGTACAATACAATATTGATTTTTAAATTCTCTTCCATATAATGTATACTAGGCCAAATATGCAGTACATTATAATTCTGCACCAACATACATTACTTTCAGAACCCATATCAACTCACCCAATCAATGCGTGCATTCCCAGTCTCACCTGTGAGCCCATTGACCATGGGTGGCCTCTCATCCTCCTCCTCTTCCTCAGGAGCTGCACTGTCCTTTCTATCCATTTTGCTGACAGACGTGGTGCGTTTGCGCTGGACCTCTGCATCAAACTCCTCGTCAAACAGAACCTGGTCCACCAGGTCAGGCTGCACTGGGCTAGGCTCTGCAGGAGGCTTTGGAGTGCCATAGTAATTACCTATGAAAAAACAAAGATATTGTAAAAAGGAAAAACACAATTTTTTACATTCTGCACAGATTTTTGGAGAAAATGCATTTGAATTAAACAAAAATATATCACATTTGAGGAGATTTAAAAAGTCAGAATTGCAAGATACAAACTCAGAATTGCGAGTTATTCACATTTTTTGACTTTTTTAGAATTGCGAGATATTAACCAGTAATCCCAAATTTATAACTTGCAATTGTGAGATGTAAACTTGCAATTGTGAGAAATCAGTCAGAAAATCACAATTACCTTTCCAGGACGGAAACAGACAAACAGAATTGCGAGATATAAACTCAAAATTGCTAGATGTAAACTTGGAATTAAGAGAAAAATTTCATAATTGCAAGTTGTTATCTCACAATTCTGGATCGCAATTATATCTCATGGAGCAAAAAGTCTGAATTATTTTTCCTTGGCGGAAACGGACTTCCATATTAAGTTGATATGTACCTCTGGTAACTCTGTTGTAATAAAAATAAAAATTTGATATTAATTTGAATGTTGTAAGGCTTTATTTTTTTAATGTTTTAGCATTTTAATTAAAGCTAGATTAGTAAAGTTCAAAAACAAACTTTGAAGTTGGCTTGAGAAAGCCAGACCAGAAAGTTAGAAAATTTTTAAAAGTTTGAAAGTGTTCAGCTTGAAGTAGTTTGAAGTTTAAAATAGTTTTAAAGACTAAAGTTTGAATGTTTTGAAGGCAATAGAGTCTATTAGAAAAAACAGATAGATAGATCTAAGCAAACTTATTTCATATTTAGTCTGTTGGCGTTTTGAAGGGTACTCCAATAGCGCTGCGTTTTCGAGGCTTGGCTGGTCGCTGATCTTGCAGAACAGAAACTGTAACGACATTGAACCCACAATATATCCTACTGCCTGACACTTTTCAGTAAGGCTATAAGTCTTGTTTGTTGTTTGTCAACACTGCAGCTCGGCTCCCCGCAGTGCTCCTCTGGATCAAGACGCAGCACTCTGCCACTTTATTGTTATTTATTGGCAACAGTCCTCCACTATAGAGATTAAGACTAGCTGTGTGGCGGCTTCTACTTCCTAGAGAGGCAGGAGGTCTCTATCTTATAAGTTTTACTGTCCTGTCTCATCTGGATAAACTTCTTGGGGTGAGAATGGTATCAGTACAACGTATGGGAAACTGCACATTCTTTGTCGACAATTCACAAAAACATCGGCTGCAAAACTAAAAGGGAGGACAGGACAATAAAGAATATTATTGATTCATTTGTCACATTTGAGATTTGGGAAGACGTGACAAGAGTTTGCTATCACAATCTACTCCATCTTACAAGCGCTGTCACATTATAGACAAGTTGGACATGAAATTGAAGAAGAGATTGCTTTAAATGAAGCGCGGATCGGTTTTACTGCTTGTAAGATGGCAAATGAAAACAGTGACAGGCACTTTTTCTTTGAAATAATAAAATGATACCCCTTCATAACATCACTGTCTGACTGCAACCTTAAGCGCAGCACTCTAAAGACTTCATTAAGCTTATTTACACTCTCGTTTGACATGTTGCATCATTAGTCTTCACTATGTGGAACACAAAAATAAATATGGTTTAAAAAAACTCCCCACACAGAGTTTGCTTCAATGTATTCCTAAAAGAAACTGTTAATTTGAATTAATTACATCTTTATTGTGTTAAAAATTCACTTACAGCTGTGAGTGTTATGCCTAAAAGTGAATTTGTCTATGCAGACCTATTCATTACAGTCTTAACTTTAAAGTGATGATAAGGGAATGAGAGACTTCACATTAAATTATGCATTTGACGAATAAATATTTACATACAGTGGGGGTTTAAACGTCCAAAAATTAGGGTGCTTTTATTTTGGACTTTACCCCCACATTTTAAACAATTTCTTTGTTTCTTTTCAAATGATGTTAAAAAAAGTACATTGATCAATTATTAATAATATTAATAATTTAGATTTTTTTAAAGAAATACTTGAGTATTTGAAATACATGCATACCTAAGTTTTTTAAAGAAATACTTTTATTCATCAAGAATGCATTAAATCAATCAAAAGTGACAGTAAAGCATTTATGTTACAAAACATTTTCACATTTGTTTCACATAAATGCTGTTCTTTTGAATTTTCTATTCATCAAAGAATCCTGAAAAAAAGTTTGATAAATTGAATGTGTCCTTGCTAAGTATTAAAAAAAATATGAAGCAGCACAACTATTTTCAACATTGTTTAATAATAAGAAATGTTTTTGAGCACCAAATCAGCATATCAGAATGATTTCTGAAGGGTCATGGCATTGAGGACTGGAGTAATGATGCTGAAAATTCAGCTTTGCCATCTCAGGAATACATTACATTTTAAAATATATTAAAAACAGGCTTTTTAAAATCGTAATAATATTTCACAGTTTTTCTGTAGAATTGATAAAATGTATGCAGCCTTAGTGATATTGTGTCTATATACAGTATATATATACAGTGTATATATATATATATTAAAAACCCTAGAAGTTCCTGTTTATTTCAAGTTTAAATTAAGACTGAATCACAGATCTTCAATATGGGCTTAGACTTTTGGACCCTACTGTATCTAATGGAAACATGCTATCGTTGTAGTCTGCAACACGATAACTATGCTCCAATCACTTGCTGTGGACTTCACGTGGCTGCACAGCAGATGGACAGTGCTTTAACAGAAGTGTGCACTGTCAACAGCCGTTATCATCTCCATCAACAGGCACTAGGCCATGCATGAAATAAACCTGCTTACTCGAAACAGTTCTGCTGAGTGTCCGCTCCAGATTTCATAAATGCATAGAAATCTACGTGACTGGAATAACTGAAGTGTCCAAATTGGCAAAGGGCTTTAGAGAACGCAGTTATGCAGTGGTAAGTAGAAATAAAAGGATCTATTATGTGACATAACATGCACTGTAGACACTCTATACAAGCGGTATCCCAGCAGTCCATGGGATGAGTATCAAGTTACACAGTCTGTACTGTAGGCAGAGACTCCCTCTGCAGTTTTAATGGTTGTGTACAGTATCTGTTGTGACTTACCATACACGGCTAGCTGTGAATTTGATATAAGATATAAAGATATAAAGTACCCCTTTGACATATCAACTAATAGTTTATGGAAAAGTTTTAGGGCTGCAAACCAAGGTAAGAACCGTTTCAATTTTTTAAGAAACACGTAATGGTTCGGTTTTGTTAATGGTTCTCTCACATGCGTTTCTGCCAATGTGAATGTACTAAAATAAAATACTCAACGGCCTACTCAACACAGCAACAACACTATTGAATCTACAGCACAAAACAGACCAGTGCTGTCCGATAACTGAACGAATGACTCTTATGAGCCAGTTATTTATAGTGAATCAAAACATACAGAAGAACCAGTATGTTCCCATTACTGAACCACTGAATCTTATGAGCCAATTTTTTTTATGATAAATACAAAAACATACGCTGAAAACGGAACTGTGCACTAGCATGCAGTATTACTCTTACAATTTCCTCCAAGATGTGGCAAAAATAGTAAGAATATGATTTTCTATGCTTTTACTATTTCTAAATATTCCTCCGTGTTTGCTTGAATTATTTTGAACAACGTTTGAAACTTCATATTGCTAGCACTTCTTGTGTTTTTGCCTCAAGATGAATGAGTTGCTTCGGAAAAAAGGGAAATTAATAACTGTAAATGAATGAAATATGTTACCACATTTTATTTGTCAGATCTCATTGTTTAATATACCATTAAAGCTCATTTTTAAAATGCATTTATGTCAAAAACTGATTTTAAAAAATATGCGTCGTGGTACTCTTGTGAATGCGTGTCAAAGTCTGAGAAGGAAGAGAAAGAATTGTTGAATAAAGTCGTTATGTTTGTTTTCTTTAAAAAGTATTCTCGTAGTTTCATAAAATTACGGTTGAACCACTGATGTCACATGGACTATTTTAACGATGTCCTTACTACCTTTCTGGGCCTTGAACGTGGTAGTTGCACTGCTGTCTATGCAGGGTCAGAAAGCTCTCAGATTTCTTCAAAAATATCTTAATTTGTGTTCCGAAGGTTTTACGGGTTTGACATGAGGGCAAGTAACTAACGACAGAATTTTCATTTTTGGGTGAACTATCCCTTTAAGAGCTGAATAACCTTGCTTTAACATTCTCGCCCTGCAATTCCCCCTAATTCAGTAAGGCACTGTAAACGTGTTTTTCAGGAAATGTCTTGATTATACCTGCGTACGCAGCACAGTAGAAAAGTGTGATCAAATCATGGCCATAAGCATGTCATGTCACAGCCTCTAGGGTCCCCTGTCAAACAGCGGGCACAGCATGATGGATCGCTCATAAACAGCGCACTGCGTCATCCTTGATTAACGGCCATAAAAAAACAGCAAGAAGGAGGGAGGGTCATCCACCGGGGTCTGAGATGATATTTCTTAGCATTAATCTCTGGGAGACGGCTAGGCGCTGACAGAGAAATGGCGATGATTTGAAACCATCTTCCTTTCACCATTGCACACTGAATAGCATACAGGAGGAAAGAGAGACGGGCTGATAGCAGGTAGTTATTTAACATTTGAGTGTTTCATGTCAAATAAATAACACCATGCCTGCTCCTGCGTCCCCGATGAACTGATGGAGGACGACAATTCACCCGTGACGATCAACGAGCACAACAAATACAGACTTGCTACTGAAATTTTCCCTGAATGATGTTTACTCTCTCACACACTCACCCACACAAGCACATACAGCCTCACACCCTTAAACCTAAATGAAATGCGAGTTGACTCATCTATAACCTTTACCCACTCGGGCCAAGTTGCAGTGCAATTTAAACATCATTGCACCAAAAATACAAATCAAAACCTGCAGTTTAGTCAGTATCTGCTAAGCTTTGCACAGAATTTTAAACACTTCATATCTTTTTTTTTTTTTTTGACTATAACTGGTGACAAAGTGTGCACAAAAGCAAGAACCCCCAAATATGAACTTGATGCTTTGGTTTGTGGTCAGTGTTCAATTTTACAAGGTAATAAGCTGAAGGAAAAGTTTGTCTCACTTGGGAAAAGCACTTCAAAGCCTTGAGTTTCTTCGTGTGAGACACTGAGCAGACTGCCGAAGTATGGACAGATGGAAAACCACATCGCCCAAAGCCTTTTGGATCCTATTGCGGGATGTTGGGGATATTGTTGTGGGCAGTGGGGATGTTCAGTGGTTGTTCAATGCTCTTGATTCTGCATCTACACAAAGAGAAGAGGGCTCTTGCTCTCGTTCAGAGATGAGACGGGCTCTCAAGCAATTCTGTGGACGTCATTAATGATAAAACTCATCCTGAGGAGTGATCAAAATCAGTGGTGCTCAACCAGAGGGCCTTAGCAAACTTCCGAAGGGTCCTTGTGAAGACTTGAAATGATTTAAAATGACACAAAACAAGCATTAAAATAAGCCACAACTGTAACACTTTACTATAAGGTTCCACTTGTTAACATTAACATCAACTAACACTAAAAATACTTCTAAAGCATTTAGTTAAAGTTAATTTCAACATTTACCAATACAGTACTGAAATCAAAAGTATCTGTTATTATTTTATGGACCTGAGCTAACGAACTAACAATGAACAGTTGTATTTTTTTTTTATTTTTTTTTATATTATTTGAATTCTAGACCTGAAAAAAAGCCATGTATAAATCATTAAAATCTTATAACTCCATGAGTATTTTTTATAATGCATATGCAATTTTCTAGAAATGCCAAGCTCTAAAAAATTCCCCCCAAAATCCTTATCCAATAAATCATGAACAACTGGAAATTCCTAGAGCCTTGGAGTCAAAAAGGTTGAGAACCACTGATCTAAATGATCCCTCCAGGAACATGGCAGAGAGAAAGGGTGATTGCCATAACTGTCGTCATCGCTCACTTCTCATGGAATTGTGGGTGGACGTGTTCTGGTTTATAAACATTGTCTACCTGTGTCACTAAGGTGGCCATCCTTCAATATTCGACACTAAAGCAATCATTAGAAAAGCAAGGACACATGTAGGAGATTTTCCTCAAGGGATTCAAATGCAAGTTCTCATTATTTTTAATCACTGTTGTAAGACAACAACGACCCAGTGAAGCATTCAAACAGGAAACAGAGTTTACTCCATAAAACTCAAGTTACCATTGATTACATCATGCTCCGGGCATGTTGAAAAACTGGTCAATTATTTCCTTGGCCTGAAAACAGCAAAACTCAAGTCTGGAGAACACATAAAATCACTCTCTATTGCATACAGACAGCATTATCTTTAGCTTGAGAGTTTGTTCTTCAGCATGGCCCTGAATTTATACAGGTGTACAAAACTTGCCTGAAAGCCTGAAAACGGACTTCCTGTTTCACACACTACCAGGACAAATCAGTACAAAACCAGGACAGAATCAGTTCCTCTGCTTTTAAGGAGATGGAGTTGAACACACTGCAGTCTGCTCATCTAAACCAACAGTTAACAATAACAGAACAGGAATGTGCCCACAAAAACATGTTTCACAGAAGAATAGAGACCATCACAAACAAGATCATATATTAGTTTAAGGAATGTTTATGGTCAAAGTCAAGTTACTCAGTATAAGGGGCGTTTCTTTATAATATTTTATTATATTATATTATAAAAATAAAATGTAAACAATATTATATCACATTACATTATATTACGTATTATACAAAGGAGTTAGCAAGATTTTTTAAACGTTTTCGAAAAAAAGTCTCTTATCTTCACCAAGGCTGCATGTATTTTTATCAAAATACAGTAAAAACAGTAATACTGTGAAATATTATTGTAAATTAAAATAACATGTATAAATTTAAATAAAATGTAAAATAGAATAAATTAATATATTTTAAAATGTAATTTATTCCTGTGATGGCATGGCTGAATTTTCAGCAGCCTTCAGAAATCATTCTAATATGCTGATTTGGTGTTCAAGAAACATTTCTTAATGATAAAAACAGCTGTGCTGTTTAATATTTGAGGAAACTGCAATAAATTTTTTACAGGATGAATAAAAACTCAAAAGAACAGCATTTATTGAAAAGAAGATTTTCTTGCAACAGTAAAAACTGTCACTTTTGACCAATTTTATTTGTCCTTGCTGAATAAAAGTATTGATTTCATTAAAAAAAAATCTTATTGACCCCTAACTTTTAAACAGTAGTGTATATTTATTTATATATATAATTAAATTATATTCAAATATATAACAGATCAAACAAATCAATAAGTTGCCCTACAGGTACATGGGAAGCATATTTTGAACAAAACAGCAAACAAGTCCACTATTATAAATATGTTTATAGACTCAATAAATCATGCTGGTTTAAGGCATCAAATCCTTGCCAGATGTCATGGGAAGACAAGAAATCACTAACCAGAATTGGTGAGTGTGAAATTATCCTTCAAACTAAAATCCCAAGAGTCAAGATATTTCATGTAGATGGAAAGGCCCCAGTAAAAGTCACCCACTGTGACATGCACATCGGACAGATTTACTTCTATACCCTGGAAACTACGACGAGACCTTCCCATTAAAAAAGGGCACTTAGTGACTCATCAAGGGATCATTAACCAAACCCACCTCCCTCACACACGGCCAAAGGCTAGGACTTCTCCAAGCATTTACTGGGTTTATCAGTGAGGAACTCACTGGCTTTGAGGCTGCAACATTAATAACTCAGACCTTGAGATCCTTTAGGCATGTTACAGAGACGGTATGAATCACACAAGGTGAACGCCCTCTGTTCTGAACTATTTCAAGTCAGCAGAGGAGGTATATGCCAAATAAAAGAGTATGCAGTACAAACATCCAGCACACTTGTCTCCCTTTATTAACATAAAAACATGGTGAGTCAGCAACTGATGCTGCAACTACACAGTAATGTAGCCCACATGATTTTTTTGCTACGGTAATCTACAGACTTTGAAAGCAGTACTTTAAGAGTGAAGGAAACCAATGTTCAACATCAACTGAGATGACCTAGTTACAGAGCTTGTATTGAAATTCCACTTTCTTCTTTTTCATCTGCAATTAATTCAGCTCAAAAGCAATACAGGCTCCATCCAAACTTTGTTTTGTAGATAATTTTTAGCTTTAAAGGAATAGTTCACTCCAAAATTAACATTCTGTCACTGTTTATGCACCCTCACTTCAATCCAAACCTGCACAGCTTTTCTGAGAAACAGAAAAAAGTATTTCCTTTTGAACTGTTTTTGTTTGTTCAATGAAGGTCAGTGGGGTCCAAAACAACAATGGACCCCATTGCCTTTCATTGTAGGGACAAAAAACAGACATTTTTCAAACTATCTTCTTTTGTGTTACACAGACGAAAGTCATATTGGTTTGGAAGGACATGAAGGTGAGTAAATGATGAGTATATAGTGAATATTCATTTTTGGGTGAAATATCACTTTAAATTTCGCTTTAAGGGACATTTCTGAGCTTTTGGTCGCCAGCAGGCTTGTCAATTCAACCTCTGAATCCAAAAAGTGAACTTATTTCCCCTTATAACCCCTTATTTACATTAAGTTGAGCTTTGCAGCTCTTGCATACTGAATTGGTCTTATACATCTTCTACTTTACACTGTCGTGTCGGGTTAAATGTTGATTCTCATGCACAGCAGATAGAAAACAAGATGCAGAATGCATTACCCTTTCTCACTTCCATGCATCTTGCAAACACTAGTAGTTCCTTCTGCAAATATATCTAATTTAGATTGTGTTCTCAACAAGTATCTGTATAACATGCCCACAGGAAATGATATTTGACTTTCAGAGCTCCTACACACGGTTTCGTACCATCATATGTTCCACTCTCCAGTAGCAGGCCACTCTCCTCCAGCACACGAAACTCCCCCACGCTGATGAAATTATAGTCCACTCCTGGAACCTCCCCTTCGCGAGGCTGCCTCGTGGTACCTGCCAAAGGCACACAGAATGATGAGTAACAAATTATTAGAAGAAGAATGCCCTTTTTGTGTAAAGGTATTACTTCAACTATGAACATATTTTTTGTTTTGTTTTTGTTAAAGGGGTCATATGATGCTTTTTTAAAGATCATTATTTTGTGTATTTGGTGTTAAAGAATATGTTGACATGCTTTAATTTTCAAAAAACACATTATTTTTCAAATACTGTACATTATTGTAGGTCCTCTATGCCCCGCCTCTCTCAAACGCTTAGTTTTCTACAAAGTCCCTCCTTCCGACAAGCGCAGTCTGCTCTGATTGGCCAGCTGACCCAGTGCATTGTGATTGGCCGAACACCGCAAGCACTCGTCGTGGGGGCGTGTTAGGACGAGCCGTTTTAGGGGGGCGTGGCAGAGTCTTAACTTTGATAAAGAATATCTCTTTGGTTTTGAGACTTTAGTCTTTGCAACTTCAGGGATCTTATCTATGCACAATCAGCTTGTAACACTCCAAAGAGAAAGGAAAACTTGAAATCGCATCATATGACCCCTTTAAAGGAAGGTGACATTGAAATTTTCTTGGGAAAATGTTATAATTTTAAATGCCTTTTAGGTACAGATTTTATCACTTACCCCTGTACCTCCCCCATACTTGCAATGAAAAAATATTAAAGTCATGATGAAATGGAAATAGAGACAGATCAGTTTTTTCATATTGTGACGTATATCCAAACGTAACAGATTATCAAAAATGAAAAGATAAAAAAAATAAAAAATGAAACATGGACTGATGAATTGTTCGCTATTTATGACATGTAGGCCCAATCCCAATTCTACCCCTTAACCCTTCCCCTTTCCCCTACCCCTCCGTTTCGCGCATTCACGTGAAGGGGTAGGGGTGTCTCGATTCTCTTTTGGTTGGAGGGGTAGGGGTAGGGGAAGGGCCAGATAGCCCTTCAAACAAAGATTTTTCGGGACCCCACTTCAAACGAAGGGGTATGAATTATCTCAGCGTAAACCGGCTTCAGCGGCAACATGGCTGCCTGAGCGAACAAAAAGACACATAATGTAAGCATTTTTGGCATTAATAAAGATTTTAACGAAAAGTAATCATTTGTTTTTATGTTACATTCAATCGTGAGTTCATATTTACGGTCATGTTACTCAAAGAAATGTTTGCAAAAAATCGCTAAAGTTTGCTAACGTCATATCATTACAGACTGCACGATAGTGCCACAACATATTTTCATGTCTGATCAGGGCGATAACCACCATAGACATTGAGGAGGGCTAGTACCCCAATAATTATAAATCGCTAAACCCTTTTCTCAAATATTGCCAATTCGAGAGCGAGAGAGAGAGACCGAGAGAGATGGAAGTTGCATGTATGCGCATCTGTGCGTTTCTGTTTTTAGAGTGAGTTTACTTCAAAAACAGCGATTTTATCCTCTCGTTGCTGGAAAATATAATGTAGCGATTCAGTATTTAAACTGTTATTAATAAAAGTCGTGGGGCAGCGTTGACAAGTTTCTTTGCTCCTGGATGTGAGCTGCGCGATTTCTGATATGTGTGTGTGTGTGTGTCAGTAAGCAGCGCATTAACGATAATTAAAGGCTCTAATTCACACCAGCATAGGTGTGTGTATTGGCGTATGATGACGTGTGACGGCATAGTAGTGGTGTCCCAATTCTTAGGGGAATATTTTCACCCCTACCCCTTGACACTCTGTTTCAAGGGACCAGGGGAAGGGGTATAAAATAGAATTGGGATTGGGCCTACATATTATTCATTTAGCACACACTTTTATCCAAAGCGACTTACAAATGAGTAATACAAAAAGCGATTCATCATAAATCAATTCATAAATCAATTTATTCATTAATTCATCTTCTGAATATAATTATCTACACTACATGTAAAGTCAGATACTGTATCATAAAAATCTCATAATTCCAAACCCCAAAACAAGTGCATTTAAAATGTAATCTGAGTTTCACCTGACCTGAAATACACAATGATTTGTAAGCTAAATCATTCCTGTATATTTAACCTCACTTGCCAAAAAAAGCTGACAAAGATTTTAGGACTACAATTTAAAACTCAATTGCATTAAATCATTAAGATAAATATAAAGAACATGAAATATAAAGAATATGACCTCATTTTCTCTGCTGTAAGAGGAACTGCAAACAGAAACGCTCTGCAAACATTCTGTCACTGAACAAAAGACAACATGGCTAACTTTTGTGAGCCTTTATTGTTGTCCTCTGTACAAGAGAGAACACAATGAATCATCTGCATCCATATTCTGCTGTAGTGTCTCTTTTTCGATCGCAACTACAGTTCACACTTTTCTTGCTTTATCACTAAAGTTTGTCAAATTGACAGTCACACAGCAGCTACTGTGGGGCGAGAGCCCAGATGCCAGTTTCTGTGCTGCAGGAAGATAAACAAACAATTAGCTCTGCAGTTTGCACAAGCTACACGAAACACCGCCAGCTGCTTAAGCACCTAACCCTACTTGGCCCTCTCCTAAAACAATTCTTGCTCTTCAAAGACTGCTTTGAAGCACAAAATCTTTCTAAAAAAATGGAAGTTAGTATTAGGCTTTCAACATATGAATTCTGTATTTTTATATCATACAGAAGACTGAGGTGTGAGGTGTTTATTTTGTGGCATTAAAGAGGGGATGAATTACATTCAAAACTCATTATGTACTCATGGTCAGCTGTGAGATCCCTTAACAAGCTCTGGAAAAGTTTAAAGTCTTAAATCTTAAAAAAAAAAAAAAAAGCAATCCTTTAAGATTGACCACCTAGGGCACTTTTTTTATTTCCGCATTCATTTTTCTATATCTGCGGATGAGGCAGAGAGGGGTTACCGTTGAGCTATAACGGATATTAATGCCAGCAGGAGGAGGGAGGGAGATGGAGGCTTCAGTCGAGCTTCAAAGATTATGTGGCAATTTGGACTCCAGGCGTTCTTCTTTCCCCCCCTTTTTTTTTTTCGAAGGACATGGCTTTAATGACTTTTCTGTCCCCGTGTCCAGACAGACATGTGCAACAGTTCCATTCCAGAAGTTTTCAGATGAGCAAAGAGTTTGACGGACAGTGCAGTCAGTGCTTCATGAAGGGAACCGATTTCAGACTACATTTCATAGTGACCACACATTTGTTAAATTCTAAAAAATAAAGTTGGTGTTCTGAAGCCTAGCCAGCTAAATCACTATTAATTTTCTTCTGTGAACCATAATCAATAAAGAATCAACTTAAGAAATCAGTGAGAGAACTGGATCAGTGAACAATTCTTTCTTTTGAGCTGATTCTTTTTAATGAAGCAGTTGATCCATTCATAAACCTTAAAGGGTTACTCCACCCCAAAATGAACCCCCATGTCGTTCCAAACCCGTAAAAGCTTCGTTCGTCTTCGGAACACAATTTAAGATATTTTGGATGAAAACCAGGAGGCTTGTGACTGTCCCATTGACTGCCAAGTAAATTACACTGTCAAGGTCCAGAAAAGTATGAAAGACATAGTCAGAATAGTCCATCTGCCATCAGTGGTTCAATCTAAATTTTATGAAGCGACGAGAATACTTTTTGTACGCGAAGAAAAAGCCACGCTGCAAGGATACGTTTTCTACGTGTATTTACACTTTGATTTGAACGAAGTGACGCGGAGGAGACGAATTGTTGAATAAAGTCGTTATTTTTGTTTTCTTTGCGTACAAAACGTATTCTCGTCGCTTCATAAAATTCAGATTGAACCACTGATGGCAGATGGACTATTCTGAAGATGTCTTTCATACTTTTCTGGACCTTGAGAGTGTAATTTACTTGGCAGTCAATGGGACAGTCACAAGCCTCCTGGTTTTCATCCAAAATATTTTAAATTGTGTTCCGAAGAATTTATATTTCTTCAAAATATAAAATTTTAATATGAGGAATAAAGTGAAAGGAGTTTGAAACTGCATAAATGTGAGTAAATAATGTCAGAATTTGCATATTTAGGTGAAATAATCTTTCAACAGAAAATGTCTAGGCATAGGAATTATGTGTAATGCATTGTATTATTAAACATTGACTTCTATTAAATGGCAATACTGCTCCTCACTGTCCTTCACCTTTACTGTGATTAATAACTTATAATTAAATCATTATTTGATTATTTTACTTGACTGAAGCCTGGAAGATGAACTATGACAGTTCATTCTGACATTACTGCTACTACCGGCGCTATTAAATATAATTAGACCTGTCCATCATCTGGCTCTCAGCCCGATGCTTATGATTATACTGGATGGAAAAGTGTGAATCAATGGAGGACTGTGTGTTGAGTCATGGGCCTGAACAGACCGTAACAAGGGCAGTGGATGAGAATGACATTAGAGATTCCACACACTGAGCCAGTGTCTCATGCAATGTTGAAATGTCAAAACATCTGCTCAGGCCTGGTGTCCATTTAAATCCCAAATTATAAAGAGCCACATGCCAGGTGCAGGACTCACTAAATGAAAACAGCAAAAACTATATCACATCTCTAAATTAACAGATAGAGACTACATTTTTACATTTACTGAAGAAAAAACCTGTAAACCTTGCTGGTGCATAGCTTGCTGACACAACACTGTTTGGCTGTTGAAATGCGGTTGCTATGTGATTAAAGTCATAAAATCCCATTACCAAGTGTGTGATATTCTGGTCCTTGTGGCTCTGGAATTTCTTTGTTGTGTGGTGCATATGAGAAGATATTCTGAAGAACATTTTTACCATTTTTTGTCCATGAAATGTCCAATGAAATTCGAAGGGGTCAAAAAAAACAAAAAACATTAGATCACTAAATTTCACTACAGGAAAAAAAACTAAAAAACACCAAGACATATTTTCAGTTCTGTTTCCCAAAAGAAAAAAGTCAAACAGGTTTGGAATTACAAAAAGGGTGAGTATATAATTACAGAACTTTCATTTTCAGGTGAAATCTTCCTTAAATAGTTAGTATTAAATGTTTTTTTTTAAATCTCTAACCCTAAGTATGAGCCATATTAATGATGGTAAGTGCCTTAACAAACAGCACTAATTAAAAGATTACACCACAGCCCGAGAGAAAAAAAGCACTAATTAAAGATGTGCGAGTAATTAAGGCATATGTTTCACTAATTCACTGGTTTGTGGCCAGACCACATACTGTATTCTGCACAACAAAAGAGCAAAACTCATTCCGTGATTACGTACTGGTTTATTGGCATTGATGTTGTTAAAAAAAAGATGGTTGTCTGTTCCAGACAGTCTGTAACTGAAAACTGTTGCCAAGAAATTACTGAGCCAATACTGGCAAGTAATTCTACATTACCCAACAGGTTTAATCGATCATGATTATGTGACATTAGCTCAGACATTGGAAGTATGGAAACTGAAATTGGCACAAAAGAAACAGGGAGAGAGGGAGAGAAGGAATAAACTGTCCTCAAGCAGGCATCAGCGGCCTCCGGCATCTGCTTGTTAAAGCAGGCATGTGGCAGGAATCACACCAAGAACAATAACTGAAATGGTAAGTATATTAGCGTCCACATTAACAGACGATAGCGTTCTATTTATAATACGCATGCGGCCGTGCGCTGTAGTTCTGTCTTCTGCCTCTTTAAATACTGAAGCTCTTCAGTAAATTATATTTGGATGTCAATGTTTTTATTATTCATCAGCTGGGGAAAAAACATTCTGAAAGTGATTCCAATTACATTGTTTCTCTGTGTTGTTATTATAGTTGTGGTAAAAGAAGAAAGTCATATACACCTAGGATGACATGAGGGTGAGTAATTTATGGGCTAATTTTCATTTTTGGGTGAACTAACCCTTTAAGAATGAAGGAACGCTGTGACTCTTGATGCTCAGCTGGGTGAAGAGTCTGTTCTACCAGGTGAGGGCAGAATGGAGAGGAAGAGCATGTGAATAACCCTAGAAAACACATGCTGAGTCTATTCACTCTTTCAACATTCCCTTTAGGTGAAATTACTGCGTTAAAACTAACACTCGGCACCAGCACTTCTGGGTTCTCAAGAGCTGTTTTAGATTAGACGCTCATTTAAATACAGCTGAAAATGACCGAAAGGTGCTGATGGGTTGAAACACCATTTCCAGCTTTGTTTGGTGGACAAGGACAAATATATTTTTTACACAGATCACGATTCGGATTCCAGTTATCAGATCGCATTTGCTCTAATAAAACCAATTTCACCTTTTTAAGGGGTCGTGAACTGAGAAATCAAAATTCTCTTTATCTTTTGATAAATAAGAGGTCACATTGTGCTATAAAAACATCCTGTAAGTTTCAGAACTCAAAACTTTCTCACTATTTCAAAAACAGCTTATATTGAAGGCAGTCTGCCGAAACGACAGGTTGTGAAATGTGCCACTTTATGACATAATAGTGTGGCTAAACACCGCCTCCACAGAAGATGATCAATGCCTGCTTCTACATCGCTGCCTGTTTAGCCCCGCCCACTGATTCGTGCATGTAGTTTAAATAATGAGAGAGGCAAACGCAGGTCTACGCAGAAACCAAACGATAAACTTTATTTTTTATGAAGCGTCAGTAAGAACTTGGTCCTTTGTTCACTTCAATTTACCGCGGATTCATTTACAAACAAGGCACAATTTGACGCAGGATTTTCAGAAAGATTGAAGCAAAAAGACGATGCTGTGCTGACTACATTGGGCATGATGTCGCACCACAAGAGAATGAGTAACTCTTTTCATTATGCTATTACAAATAATTTGATATGTACTGAGTATTTATGTGTTTTTATCCTAAATAAACATCTGTGAAGGAAGTAGGCTGTCAAACATACACAACTCATAGCAGTGGGCATTTACTTCCGAGTCTACAATCCGCCACAACTATTCAAATGGAGCATTTAGATGAGGGGGGTCAAAACAGGACAGAAAATAGTCTATTACTTCTAAATTATGACAAATCTTGATAAAATTGCAAGTGGACCTCAGAGAATAGTACAAAATAAATAACAAATTATCTACCATGGCATGCATTGGCTATTTAGTGAACAAAAATCATGCAACACTAATAATGTAATGTATGTCTTTGAAAGAACTTTTGTGGTGAAATGTTTTGTAAATATTTTGTAAACAATTAAAATAAACGAACACCATTATATACTGCTTAAAGGGATAGTTCACCCAAAAATGAAAATTTGATGTTTATCTGCTTACCCCCAGGGCATCCAAGATGTAGGTGACTTTGTTTCTTCAGTAGAACACAAATGAAGATTTTTAACACAAACCGTTGCAGTCTGTCAGTCATTGACACTCCCAATTGAGAATGTAGATAAACGGTTTGAGTTAAAAATCTCAGTTTGTGTTCTACTGAAGAAACAAAGTCACCTACATCTTGGATGCCCTGGGGGTAAGCAGATAAACATCAATTTTTCATTTTTGGGTGAACTATCCCTTTAACAGATCATCAGAACTGCAATACTGCTCAATGCTTCACTAAAAGCTGCTTGACTGAAAAACCCGGAAGCAGTGATTGCCTGTAATAATTTCATCTACTGTTCATCACACAGTGCACTATATGGGAAACCGGGAGCCATTTCATATGCAGCTACAATGCTGACTCTAATACAACCAGTCTAAAGCGTTCACAGCACCCATCATATACCACCCTTTGAAATTACGTACTGAAGACATGTTACTGACACCATAATTACTGTCTGAGCAGCCGGAGTCATGGCAGAATCATCTGAGTGTGACCTGCACTAACACATTTAATGAGTTCTGAGGATCTGAGCGAGGTCAGACGTGTGAATGTGTGTGGTACTCACAGGGAATGGTGCGCAGGTACAGGTTATCTCTGATCACCTGCTGGAGCTTGTGGTCCAAAGAGCCTTTCTGGAACTGCAGGCTGAGGTAATGACGCAGATCCGTGTTTAACACCTTACCTGCAGAGACGCATTGAATTTGGGTAAACTTTGGGTAGTTTGAGTACAAAAACAGCATTTGCGAACTATTTTGCATCCATATTGTGACGATTGAAACAGGATATTTATCATTCCAAAATATGTAGGTTTCACCCATTGATTTTATTCTTCAGAAATTGATCGGATCAAGCTAAAGTGCTCTCTATATGACAGATTAGAGCAGAGGGGTTGAAAAATAGGATGTAATATTTTAAGATATATAAACCTTAAATTTACCATAATCTGACCTTATTACCAAAATAAGGTAAAATTATTAAATTATTTAATTCATTAAATTAAAATAATTTATTATTAAAACCTTATTACCGTAATCTGTCATATAGAGAGCAAATAACCTTTTTTAATTCTCATAAATAAATACATTTATAATGTTAAAAAAGATTTCGATTTCAAATAAATTCTGTTATTTTAAACTGTCTATTCAGCAAAGAATACTAAAAAAATATATCAGTTTCCACAAAAAAATATTAAGCAGCACAGATGTTTTCAACTTTAATAATAATATTTTATTTTTTTATGTATGTATTTGTTCATTTATTTTTGAGTACCAAATCAGCATATTATAATGATTTCTGAAAGATCATATGACACTGAAAACAGGAGTAATGGCTGCTGAAAATTCTACTTTGTAATCACAGGAATAAATTACCTTTTAAAATAGATTCAAATAGAAAACAGTTATTTTAAATTCTAATATTATTTCACAATATTACAGTTTTTATTGTGTTTTTAATCAAATAAATGCAGCCTTAGTGAGTATAAGAGACTTCTTAAAACCATTAAAATTTTAATTATAAACATTTGGTCAGAAAATACATTTATGTATTTATGATTATTCATTTTCAAAAAAAAAAAAAAAACTCTTGATGAGAAGAGCATTATTTGCTTAAAAGTTTTGCAAACTGCCATTAAAGAAACTTGTAGAATGATATATGTGTAAAATGATGTAAGATTTATATTTTTATACAGAAATTTGAAAATCTGTGACTGAGTTCCGCTCATTAGTAACAGCTGTGTGGATGACAAACAAAAAGCAAACAAACAAAAGTGAAAAGCTGTCAGTTGCAAATGAGGTGAATATAACTAAATCATGCTAAAATCTGGAATCCGTCCCAGTCTTCCTTCTGATTAAATGACAACCTTGAGATGTGCAGAAGGAGGTCCAGCTGTTTCTAGCACTACAAAAAAAATATTTACTGGCTTCCCTTCACGAGCATCCAGATGTGTGAATGCAAGATGAGTGCTAACAAAACAATGCAGGTTCTACTGCTGTGCTCTTGCAGCAAAAGTGCCAGGAGTTCAGGCGGAGTTCAAGGAAGTGTGGAGGCGGTGCAAGTCATCCTGGAGGAAGGAGGGGAGGAGAAGACCCTCTGAATTAGAGAATGAGAGAGTCGGAGCCAAGTTTCCCCATGCGAATTAAATATGGGAGGGAGGGAGGGGAAGAAAGCAACGCCTCTTTGAGCAGCTCCAGTCTCCAGCTGTTGGTATTACGCAGCTGATGATCTCTGGGTGGGGAGGATATGCTTTGAAGCTGTGCCAGTCACATGACTGCTGCATCAATAAGCATTGTTTCGGACCTCGCAGCTGCTGAACCCGCCTGGCTGTCCTCACAGACCTGTGAGATCATGGATCCCGACACACTCTGGCATATAATTTCAGGTAAAAAAGCCCCTCACGCTACTTCAAAAATGGGTCAAGCTACGCCTTTGCAATGTCCTGACATCTGGAATCAGCATGTGCTGTTAAATGTGGAGTCTAAAAGTTTGCAGAGCTCAACGCAAACAATTTTGTCCTTCTGTAGTTCAACATTTTTACTGGTCCCACTACAAATGAATGCTTTTTTTTTTTTTTAGCATTTTTGTATTTGCTAAAATATATATTTTTTGTTGATTAACATTGTTTTTTTCTTTGCAAAAATATGCAACAAGCTGAAGATAAATTGCTGTAATTATATTATATTATATTATATTATATTATATTAAACTACAGAGAACCAGATGTTGCAAGGAAAAATAGATCAATGAATGAAAATTTGATTGAATGAAAATAGATTCATTTGGCAGTGCGGCCGTTTTCAGCAATGCATTATAATATAATATAATATAATATAATATAATATAATATTAAAAAATATATAATAAAAGCATATTTAAAAAAAACATGTACAAGATCAATGAAAATGCAGCAGTGGACTTGAAACTCTTTCTCAGACTGGCTCAGACTTTCTCAGTCATTGTTAAGTAAACAGAAAATGTTCAGATCTTGAAAAGGAATAAGAAATATTTTGAACTTTTCTTCTAACTATTTTATGCTTTGTTGTCATTAAAGCAAAAAGAGGGACAAACCAAATACTAAGTCATTAGGAATGAACATGAACTTCACTGTAAATTCAATGTTTCAGTCCAACTGAAAAGACGAATACTTCATGTGGCCTCGAGAGAAATGCCATTTGTGCCTCAAGACAGAATAAATACAAACATGTTGTGCTATCTCAGGCTAATTTAGAATGCAAGGTAATCAAAACAAGTCTCTCCCGAAGCAATTCTCTCTCACGGGGAATGAAATGGATGGCCCACTGTGATTGCAGATTAGCCGCATTTCATTGGTCGACTTCGACGCATACTAATTTGCTCCAATCTAAATGTGCTCAAGAGGCCCATCATTTTCACTTAGAGTTCTGGTATTAATTCCACCTCTATGGCTGTTTAGCAAGACATTACAGTGTGTCTGACTTTTTCATTCTGCAGCGCTCATTTCCAATAGTGTACAACATGATTTATAGCTGCCGTTCATTAGGGAGTGTCTTGGTCCAGCCCGAGTGCGTATTGAGCTGCAGTATGAAGTGCTGAACTATGCTGAATGAGGTCAGTTGGGACCGCTAGGGAGGCTCTGTGAGTCATACTGTGAGACCTCAAAGGAGAGGCAGGACGGGTGGAGAGAAGCCCCCCAGACTCCTCTTACACTGACATCACCGGCTCCAGTCACCCACACCTGGAAATAATCAGCAGCTCGAGAGCATGAAACGCACTGGGAATGTGGTCAGTATCACACAAGAGATTGTAAATCACACAATTTAGCGGTGAAGCAAATGAATCATATTTTGAATTGTAATATTAAACTGTATTTTAGAATGCTTGATCAAAATGTTGATTCTGACAAAGTGGTTTTCAATCTTTTTGACTCCAAGGCCCCACTTTGTCCAGGCCCTCTTATCTAAGCCAACTCTGTTGCAATAAAAACAAACCCCAAAATATGATTTCAGTTTATTGTTCATTTTTATTTTAGTGTGTTTTATATCATTTTAATTAGGAGTATGTTAATATAACTACATTTAAAAAATGTTTTGGGATGTATTGGGGCCCAGCAGGAATTTTGCTAAGGCTCTTTAGAGAACCACTGTTCTAACCCTAATAAAAACACACTGACTTATACTTATTTTACTACTACTAACATTTTTATGATTATATTATTGCAACATACTTTTCATATTCTTTTGAGATATTTGTGATATTTACTCATATATTTTTGTTATTTAAATAAATGAAACTATTACAAATAAAAAAAAGAAAAGAAACTCAGGCTAATTGCCTTACAGACGTGAGGAATATATCTACAGAAAACTGGAAATGTCTACCTTAAAATGAACCATTTAATTTGAAAAAACATTACTTTTGCTGTATAGTCATTACATATGCTTTGCAGAAAGCTTTATGCGCTGTATCGAATTTGTATGATTTGTGAAAAATTGTACGCATTTTACAAGGTGGTAAATTTGTAGAAATTTGTATGAAAGACCACACATAACCCCATGAAACTTTCGACTTTCGAAAACCTTGTCAGAAAACTTGAATACGCAAAACAATTGATGGCAGAAATACACTATTAAATATTCAGATCAGCTACATTTACATGGCTTTCATGTTCTCTTATATACGAAAATCATCATAATTTACTCAAGACGATACAAATATAGATGTTCTGAAGAATGTTGGTAACTTGAGTAAATGACGACAGAATTCTCATTTTTGGGTGAACTATTTTTTTTTTTTTTACATATAGAAACTGAGATCAGTGAGGGTCATTTTAAATGTGGCATTCAAAATGCACTTCTTGTACAAAAAGTATAATTTGTGTTCACTCATAGATAAAAACCATGTCAAACAAGGCCTTTTTATGTGGGGAAGGCTTTCAAAGCTAGTGATGGTTTTCAAATTAAGTTGTACAACAAGGTCCAAGAGCTACACTGTGTAATTCTTTGGACATAGTAAAACGGGAGGAATTTAGGTCAGGCCACAATAGCTTTGCTTCATCCTTCATCAAGTATTGTACAGTAGCATGCAGGAACGTGCTCCATGTTCCCTAGAAAAATTCTGCGTGCTTGCAGTTCATATAAACCCAGCTATACCACACTGTGCCAAAAGCCTTTACCCCAGATACGGCTGAAGATCTTTCATGAAAGAGTTACAAAATGCCTGTAGCTCTCACTGTTAGGTGTCCTCATACATGCAGAGCAGCAGGAGACAGACATCAGGACATTAGCCAATCATATACATGGATGTGTCCATTGTTATTTTGATGACATTCTCACACACTACCACTCACCGAAACCCCCCACACACTCATTCTATATCAGCCTAGGTCTTTGTTTACAGAACAAGGCGCTCTTTGTGGCTATGCTGTCAGGTAGCGTTAGCGAGCTGTGTCATATCTCTGGGGTGTCTCCCACTAGACCGCACCAAGTTCCAGTCACTGTACTGCCAGGCTGCCCATGGGAGCCACGGGATACAAAAGCTCCTTTTGTGCCTCATCATCCAGGCATTAGAGCCATTTTCATCAAGGTGGAGGGGGTCAGGAATGGACACAGAAAGAATCCATGACGCAATACCATAGCGTTGGTCTATTCTTGTACAAAAGCTTCGAAGACGATGAAGATTTTCACCTCACTTATCCTTTTATTACTTGACTAACTCTTTGTATGCGATTTACAATAGTTACGCTCTTATCCTCTTGACCAAATGA